GAAGGATACAATGGGGGCCACTTGCGATTCTGTGAAATTTTCATCAAATGATATCAGTTATTCTCAAGTTTGTGGTAGAGTAGTAGGATACCAATATGGTACACCTGATGCTGTTCATCCTAATAGACAAGATATTGACTCGGTATATCTTGATGGCGTTAGTATCACTCGTGGAGGATCTCCTCGTCACCATATATGGTCACTGTTAGTTGGGGTACACTCGAATAAAAGCTACTTTGACAATTGTCCATGCGCTAATGGTAGCAGTCCACAAAGTTTCATAGGAAACGATTATTTCTGCGAATCGGCTAACCCCACTGATAGTTGGGATCCAATTTTCTATTCTACTGATCCACTCTGGGATGGTCAAGGATGTGATGCTGCTGAAGCTGGTTGTTGCTCTGATTCCAGACTCCCCTGGTTTAACAAAACACTTGATGCTCCCACTACTGACTACCTTGAGATGAGGGTGTGTGTTGATCAAGGAACACACACTGAAGACATTAAACTAACATTTTATGAACTGTATGTTCAATGAATTGCTACCTATAGCATGCATGCAGTTGAGCCATTAGGGCTAGTAGTGATCCTATAGTATTGTGTTGACAGCCATTAGGGCCACATAACAGTAATCTTAGTATTCCTAGTACATGTGTATGTGTCTTGCAAGCATAGTTATTTTTTAAAATATCATTAATAATAATCAAGAAACTGCCCACTTCATCAAGCCATAAAAGTGAGTCTGCATCATCACAATGTATATACAGTACATTGTATTGAATTCTAACCATGTACTGATCAGCCTGCACATAATATATGTACTTACAATACTTTAATGAACCAACATCTTAAAAATACCGTATAGCTGCTGGAATTTAATGTTGCTGTTTGCTGTTCATCATTAAAAACACAAATCGATTCTGCAAAGCGCTATAGTTAATGGGCGTGTCAACAGCTCACGCCTATACCAGCAAAATTAAATTCCAAATCTGCTCTAGTAGCACAAAAATTGCAAAATATAAATCCCGCAAACTTTTTGGGCTACATGTATACGCACTAAAGTTTTACATGTACATGTACTTTATTGCACATGCAGCACTACATGTACAATATGTACATGCATATATTTTCTTACCAACAATGGCGGAGTCATCTCCCTCCTCTTCCTCTTCCTCAGACTCAACCTTCACCCAGCGCCATGTCAATATCTTCTCAACATGACCAGGCAGTGCTTTAACCTAGGAAATAATAAAACCACATCCACATACAGAGCCACACCCACCGTGCAACGAGGACAGTGCCAAGTACCGTCTGGTATTTTCTTCAGTGGAGGATAAAGGCACTGTAAGTGATAGGCCTTGGGGCATCGATCACAGCAGAGGAGCTCACCACCATCTTGACAAATGTGGCAATAGTCGGCGTGTTCCCCATCGGAATCATCCTGCTCTTCACTGTCATCATCTTGGTCTCCATCAGACATTGAGTCATCTTCGTCTTCTTCTGTTGCCGAGGGGCTCCGTGAGAGATGGATAAGGTCATCTCGCTCGTCTTCTAAGTGAACCGAACTAGCTTCTGAATCAGTTGCTCCTTCGAGAAAGAACAATAATTATAATCAATATCAAATAGAATTGTAGATTACCTTTCTTTTTTCTGCCACTCCTCTTCCCAGATGCACGAGGTTGCTATAGTAACGAGAAAGCATAATTAAAACCCTCCCATGCACATTAATTACTTCTTCAAGTGATTGAGTGAAAATTGGACTATCGTTATTACGAGATCTACCAATCATGCGTATTTTAATACGAGGGACTTTCTGACCAATACTAGTTACAATAGGTCTTTTCCGCTTTCTACCTTTGGCTCCTCCCCCTGCCCCACCCCCTCCTTGTTCATCATCCATTGTATCACAATCCTCAGTAGTGGCTGGTGAATCAGCATAAGAAGTATCATCATTATCATCATCAAGATAAGCATTCATAGCAACATTCCTCGCTGCTTTTCGTCTTGGGCGGGATGCCTCTTTCTGCTCATCCTCTTCAACTTTATTCGATAATTTTCTAGAACCTGAAAGACTGTGATATCGTTAAAAGGGTGTGGTTTCGTTACCTAGGTTACCCGCCTGTTCCCTACGTGCTTTTTTCAACGCTTTCCATTTTGTGTTGATGATGGAGTTTATCTCTGCACTCGATGCAGCTGGGAATAGCTCCATGAGAGAAGGGCGAAGGCAGGAACTGAAATGATTAAGAGTGGAAGCTATGAGAAGAAAAAAATAGAGGAGAGAATAAGATTTAAAATTAACATAAAATTTGGTTCACAAATATCTGTACCAATCAATGCTTCCATTGGTAGGTCTTCAATGGAATCTGGAGATTTGCTGCCACCACTGCCTGAGGGAGAATCATTGTTAGTTTGCTCCATTTCTGGATCTGCTATCACTAGTCCATGATCCGAATCAGAATCACCCGACTATATCATTAACATGATACAATAGATAATATATTATATTTATTGTCTCACATCTCCAGTAATGCTTGAGTGCTTTGATGAAGATGTCTGCTTTTCATCTTCATCCTTTTCTTCAAACTAAAAAAAATTAATTAATTAAAATACACGAAAATTAATGAGTAGATTATTACTACACGTGGTCTCTTCCTCTTGCCAATGCCTATACGGAGATAAACTGATAAATATACGGAACTCAGCCTGTCACCTTTACCTGACTCGGTCAATCTACCCGCCATTTTACTTTATCTTAAACCTCTTGTTCTTACTATCTTTCTCCTTTCCTAAAGAGAGAAAAGCTTTTAAAAGTTCTTATACTTCTCGCTCCTTCTTCTCTACAGCTTGAACGACCTAATGTCGGAGCACGTTCTATAGAACCTAACCTTGAATGATGTCCTTAGATACAAAGAGGTGAAGAAATCTTTTTTTCTCCTCTACAAAAGAGGCACCATAAATTAATATAGCCTGAGTCCAAACCACTTGTTAATAATGGATGAAGACAAACCAGCCAATCAGGTTGGAGCTAGCCTGTCATGTGACCACATGCCACTGATAGCCACACCCACTCAAATTAACCACAAACTCTCATAATGATGTAATGCCAATTAATTAATTTATTAACTTTATAAAATTCGAAAGGGTTTCACGCGTGGAGGTACCCCTTGGCTCCACGGTGACCTCTGGCAGCGCTTGACATTTGACATGGTATAGAGGCAATGGGTAACTGTACATTGTGAAAAAATTGAAAATAATAATAATAATAATAGTTACGTCCTAGATTTGAAAAATTATTAATAAGATTACACCTCTATAGCCTATAGAAAAGAGGGGGAAAGGGGAGGAGGGTGAAAGAGAGAGAGACAGAAGAGGTACATGGTAGCAAAGAGAGAGGAAAATATTAGAGAGAAAGAGGAGAGAGAGAGAAAGAGAGAGAGGGGGAGAGAAAGAAAGAGAGGTTACTCAATCATATGTACACGTGACATTATGTACATACATGAATGGGCTCTACTTTGTCTTTCCACCTGTTGAGAAAAAAGCCAGTAGAAAAGCAGATCCTGAAGTCGTTATGGAGAAATTACTACAAAAAGAAAAAGAGAGGGAGAGTATTATATGTACATCAATCAAAAAGAAGTGAAGAGATTGAAAAGGAATGACTTACACAACTGGATGAAATGTTCTCATAAACCAGAACAGAACCAAGAGTATGAAGAAATACAGTGTATTGCTGTAAAATATGGAGAAGGCAGTCGCCTCTCTATCTGCAACTTTATTCTTCTTTTCTGATGCTCTGAAAGAGAGAGAAGGAGAGAGAGAGAGAGAGAGGACAATGAATGACATAAATAAGAATTTGTTGATAAATTTATGCGGCGCAATAATCAAAATACCACAGCTGGAAAACACAGCACTAAACCCTCACAAGGGCATAGTGACAATGTCCTAAAGCTGCAGCTAAACACACAACACCTTTAACAAGGTACTCAAGTGGCCTAGAGTAATATTTTGTACGTAAAGTACTTACTTTGTATCACGCTCCTGCTTGTTCTCTTTGCTTAGCTCTTGAGCAACTTCACGAGAAATGACACCTTCACGACGTAGGGCAATCCTGAGAGAGAAAAAAAGATGAAGGAAAAATGATAAAGGAAAATGCTAAAATACTTTAATATTTAATTACAATAATAATATAATACATTATTCTCAACAATGACATTTAAATAAGGTACATGTATGTTAAATACATTATGTTCAAACTACTTGTATATCTAGTGTTTATCTCACTTGTATTTCATTGTGTGTTGGAGGTTTCTGTAGGCATACGCAACAAGGTAGGTACTCACGCAAACAAATATGACGAACAACGGAGAGTATGTGAGTGGATCAAGCATCTGTATCCTCCAATACAACCCTGAGAGAGGGGGGGAGGGAGAGAGAGGAGGAGGGAGAGAAAGAGGAGATGGAGTAGCAAAAGATTAAGAAACGAGAGGGGAAAAAAGAAGTTAAATACACACAATCAATCAATAAAAGTACAAGTATAAAGCAAGAAATGACATTGTAAAGAGATATCACGTGAGCCCTTTATCCTCCCATACACATACAAAGTGGCAGAGCAGAAACAATGAAAGCGTTCCCATAGAAAAGAGCAGAAGTGGCCATAGATACGTGACGAGAGCTTTCTAGGAGTAAGAGCTCCTCTTCTGTCATCTTCTTTGCTCCTTCGTTCTTCTTTGCAGGCATTTTCTTTGGTTTGTAACAATAAAACAATGGCGGCAATGAACAACAGCAATTCGATTAATAATAATAAACCTTTAAACCACACCCCTATATTAATTTTGGCAACGCCCACCAACATAATTAATTTTTATTTGCAAAAAACAGCAATGGAAATGAATGAAAATTGAAAAGGGAAAGAAACTGAAATGATTCATAAATAAAATAATTATATTATTATAGTTAGTTAAATTATAATTCTATATCTGTCACTTCAAATAATTTTAAATGATAATAATAATAATAATAATAATAATAAATTAATGATGATGATGATCATGATAGAGCTAGTATAGTTTCTCTTAAAGGATGACACATTTGTTTCCAGTCGATTCATCCTCTCCTCTCTTATTCTGTGTCACAGTCTCACACACAGTCTGCCAATGAGGAAGGAGGCCAGTAAAACACTTCTTAAATGGAGTGTGGATATGACGAAGCTCCACGGCCGTACCATTACCACCTCCTCCCATGAGAACTTTCTGGGATTGCTGCCAAGTGAAGAGACATGCCCCTGTACTCTGATGGAATGGGTGGAGCTCAGTGACAAAGATCTGCAAAAAAACAATTTTAACTCGTAACTAACAAATTGCTCCAAACTATACTCAAACTTATTATGCTGCATACAGCAGTGCTATGGCACGAGCTAATTTTGGCTCAAATCCACAGCGAAAATACATTACAACATATCAGTAGTATTGTGTGTGTGTGTGTATTCATATAAAAATCTTATTGCATCATTACTTTGTTTGGTGCCAAGAACAAGTCCACAATGTAGTTGCCCTCTTTCTCCATTGCCGGCTTTAGATCGTTATCAAAGAAATACTGGATCTTACTGAGTATCGTCTTCTTGAAACGGGCAATGTTGGGAACGTAGAGAATGTCGTCATGCTGTGTGACAGCTGTCAGCATGTTCTATAGAAAAAGAAAAGGGAATATTAAAAAAGATAAATGTTATAATATACTGTACATTAGCATTACAGATACCAAATCAATATATGTACATGTATATATATATTAATAGCTTACATTATAGACAAAAGCCCTAAAGTTCATTCCAGGGTAGCGGGGAAGATCAGTAGATACCCACTTCATGATGGCAAGGACGGCCTCGGTACCTTCAATTTCCACAAACTTCTTGACTTGTTCAAGCTCCTGCAGAGAGAAAGAGACAGAGACAGAGACAGAGAGAGAGATCAAAGCGATTGGCCAATAAAATACCAATCATCTCAATGGTAAAACACTATTGATATTGCAGTGTTTGCTTTATGTATGGCATCAGGGACATACTTACAAAGTCTACCAATTACTTTGAGGTAAAAATATCAAAGCTAAATGTTTTTTAATTGACATTCATTAGTCCTTTAGGTAACTCACATGTACATGTACATCATAAAACCAATACACTTTAATTAATATTTTTAAGATTTGTATTTTAAAACTTTTCATCAGTGCAATCACCATTTATAACACATATACACCTAGTCATGTACCTCTTTAATGAGTAGACTGGTTGTCAGTAGTGCAATAGCTTCATCAGCATTTTTAACACGATAGCGAGTAAATATAGTACGCATAAACCCACGAAGAACCTTATTCTGAAGAGTCTCTTGTTTAACTTTGATCATCTGATGCTCCTCACTGGGAGGGCTAGTCTATGGGAAGAGAATATGATGAAAATAATCACATAAAAATTGCAACAAGTTTACTTCTTTCAATAAAGATTTAGGCCTGCTTTCCTTGTTTTCTTCTTCTTTTTTAGTCTCTTCTTCCTTCTCTCCATCTTTCTCCTTCTCTTCCACTTTTCCTTCTTCTCCTTTGTTCTCTCCTTCTTCCTCTCCTTTCTCTTCTTTTTTCTCTTCTTCTTTCTTTGCTGAATCATCATCAGTCTGAGCCTCTTCAGTCCCAGTATTGGCAGTCTCAGTTTCAGTCTGTGGGGTTTGAGTTTCAGTCTCAGTTGTTTCAGCTGCAGCAGTCTGGGTTTCAGAATTTTCAGCAGTTTTGGTCTCAGTCTCAGTGGTGGTTTGGGTTTCAGGTTCTGCTGTATTGAATTAAATAAAGATACTAAAATAATGTACACACATAGAAATAAGCTCAAAACTTACTACACAACATAAGAACATGTATAAGTATTGAAAAACATTATAAAAATTGAGAATTTTCTCCTTTTCATTCTTGGGTAAATTGGGTTGAAGACCCTGTACTATACAGGGAGTTTGGTCCGGTTTTTGGAATAACTTTTTAAATTCATAAAAAATCCAAATTTGATCAGAATCAGCTCAAACTTGCTACACAACATAAGAACATGTATATGTATCAGAAAACGTTATAAAAATGGAGAATTCTCTCCTAGTCAATTTTGGCAAAATTTGGCTGAAAACCCTGTACTATAGTACAGGGACTTTGACCTGATTTTTGAGTAACTTTAAAAATTCGTAAAAAATCCAATTTTGATCGGAATTAGCTCAAACTTGCTACACAACATAAAAACATGTATATGTATCAGAATAAATTATAAAAATGGAGAATTCTCTCCTAGTCATTTTTGCTCAAATTTGGCTGAAGACCCTGTACTACAGTACAGGGACTTTGACCTGATTTATGAGTAACTTTAAAAATTTGTAAAAAATTCGATTTTGATCAGAATTAGCTCAAACTTGCTACACAATATCAAAAAAATTATAAAAGAATGGGGAACTTTTTTGCCATTTATGAAAAATTTACCATGTACTATAATAGTACAGGATTTTTGGCAAAATAAACTATATACAAATACAAACCTTGAGTGCCTTCAATAGTTGCTTCTACAGTGATTGGTCCTTCCCCTGCAGACTCTGTTGTAGGTGTGGCCTCAACGTTGGGCGTGGCTTCCTCTGCAACCTTTCCATCTTCTTCATTCTTTTTATTTTCCTCTGCCAACGGGTCGGCAGAATCACCTAATTCAAAAAAATAAAAATTATATATATTTTAATATTTTAACTGACCTTCTTCCTTGCTCCTAGACTGGGTCCTACCGCCAGTAGCCGGACGAAAGGACTTTTGTATACGTCTCAGACTCCTCCGCAAAACATTATTGCCTAAAAACAAAGTTGCTGTTTACAACAGTTAACAATTGTGATATCTATTATACAGTTATTGTTTATCCTATCTTTAATTGTTCTTTCAAAAATACTTTAGTAATAATATTATTCACTTGCCAATATAATTATATTGTAGCGATATCTCTACTATATGTACATGTACATGTACATGTACATGTACATATACATGTACATGTATATGTACTCATGCATGTACATGTACATGCACATGTGTACATGTGCATGTACATGTACATGTACATGCACATGTGTACATGTGTATGTACATGTACATGTACTCATACACACATGCTTAATGTACACACACATCGTACTCAATGAGTAACAAATACTCACTACATGTTCCATATATTACTTATTCAATACATGTTTTACTCACCGCGAGGCTGAGTATTTGATTCGCGGAAGGAGCTCGATCTCCACGACCTCCATATAAGGTAAGCATTTGCAAATTGGTTCTCTATTTCCATCTCTGTCGTCACACCCTCCTACAAAATAATAATTATTATAATTATAAATTTTCCTTCACTCCATTACTTGTATAGATTGTATATAGTCACAGTCATTTCTCTCTAAAACCGAATCGGTTGGGGTCTTTGTGTTCAACCTCAGAAAAGCTCCTGCCTCTCCATATTCTTTAATGATAGTCTCAATCTTCTCCTTGAGACCTTCAAGTGTCTCCTTATGCTGGTCAGTGAGCTCTGGTGGATCATCGGATGGAGAATGGTGCATGGCCAGTAAGAGATCAACCTTTAATGACGAAATAAAATAATAATAAAAATAAATGACATGTAATATGTACAATGTACGTAATTCCTCTATAAAATGCATTAAAAAGAGTATAGTATAATATAGTGCCTACACACACACAATACATTTATACACATTGCTATGCAAAGACAATGATACATGTAGTTCCAATAAAGACAGCCAACAGTGTATAAAAGGTAGACACTATATACAACCAACTAAAAGGATTATGGCTTCACTGCATATTTCCAAATTACAAACATGCTGTTATTTTGTAAATTATTTGTCAAAGCAAGAACCCAAGTAAAAAGCAAACTAGACAATGATGTCATAATGATGTCATAGTGTTTACCTCTTCATTGGATAGTGTGAGGAACTTGGTCTCAAAAGTGTGGTCCTTCAAAGACTCGTACCAAGTCTTTGGAGCAAATGCTTGTTTTAGGTAAAACCGCCTGAGAGAAAGAGAGAGAAAGAGAGAAAGAGAGAGAGAGAGAGAGAGAGAGAGAGAAAGGGAAAGAGGGAGAGAGAGAGAGAAAACAAAATGTATATTTTTAAAAACAAACAGAATCTGTTAAGTAAATGCGAAATGGAAGCTTAAAGATTATTTAGTAAAGACACGCTTGCATGACTCTTCCTGGCCTTGCCCTAGTAGAAAGACATAATAATTACTCTAGTATCAAATGCCATGTCGATTTGTTTTTCCACGCTCAATCAATGTTTGAGTATACAGTGACAATCGTCCATATAATGCGATGTCTCCCACACTCTCTCCCACCCTATTAGTTACAGCTACTTTACTCTTTTTAAATGTATTCTTTCTCTTCTCACAAATCAATAAAACTATACCCCAGCTGCAGTGCTATAGAGCTTTTAAGTGTATACATAAACTGAATTCCATTTACATACTGCCAATTAAATCACAAAGAACAACATCAAGTCTTATTATGGAAACTAATCCTAAACAATCCCACGTACACTCTACCCCCTTCCCCTTTCTCTCTTGGGAGTAATAAAATAAGTAGGAGGTCTACAAGCTATAGCTAGGACAGATAAGCTTCTTAATAAACAGGCTGGTATCCATAGCAATATTATCACACTAAGTAGATTCATTAACAACGCTAATTGACCACAGAATGTCAACAATGCACTGATGACCAATCCATAGGTCTTAATATTATTATTTAAGCAAAATTAAGAAAATTAATTTTGTTGATAATGTGAGACTGGAGTGATGGTACAGGGTGCGAATGGACACAGTCTGTGCTCAAATAGTTCTAGCCTTTTGCGTATTACTAGCACACAAAATTTCTTTACAATAATAGGAACAATAGTAGACTATAATTTATCTATTTCTTATGCACTTTTGATAGTAAATTATTACAAATAAAGTGTTTCATTATGTTGAGGTTTTTTGGGTTTTCTTTGCTACTCAAAGATATCGCTGTATTGCTTATTAATCGTCTTACTTGTAACTTTCCATCTCAGTTGCAGGAACTCCTTTCTCAGATAATGCCTCATCGGAGAGCAAGTGAGGAACAACTATTTCTTCTACTGGCTCGCGAGTCTTTCTATCCTTCTCTAAAATGAATCAAAAATAAAAATAGTAATAATAGCAAGTAGTCAAATTACGAGGTTAGTGCAGGTATTTTGTAAACGAGCTAAGGGTGATGAATGTGACTGTTTTAAGAGGAAATGTAGTAGACACTATTGAATTCTAAGCATGCATTTTTAAGTAATACAGCAAAATTTTAGTTACTTTTCTTTTCCGGTGACTGCTTTGGTGATGCTTCTTTCTTTTCTTTGGCCTCTTTTTCAGTATCTTCTGTTATTTCACTAGTTTCCTCCTTTTTAGTTTCATCAGTTTTCTTATCATCATCAGTAGCAGGTGTTGGCTCAGGATCATCATTTGCAGGAGACTTGGCTGCTTCCTCCTCTTCTTTCTTCCCCTCATCCTCTTCCTTGCTCTCTTCTGGTTGCTCTTCCTCTTTGCTCTCTTCTGGTTGCTGCTCATCACTTTCCTTAGGTCCTTCTTCTTTCTTTTCTTCTGGCTCCTCGTCTCCTCCCTCCTTCTGATCTTCCTCTGGTGTCCTCCTTATCACCTCAGCTAGGACTTCTTCCATGAAGCCTTTGTCCTCTTCTCCAGTTGTCTCTTCTACAACAGGATTTTCTACCTCGTCAGCCATTTACTGAGAGTGAGCGCCTCTTGAAGAAACAGAAACAAGAAAAGTCTAGAAAACGAAAAAGAAGAAATGGAATAATTTTATAGCCACTTGCGCGCGGAAGATTCGGCTACGCATGCGCAATAGTCATGCACTTCGCCGCCATGGTCAATCTATTGCGCATGCTCAGGTAGATTATTAAAATGTAGACTAGCCCCGCCTATTGTAAACACTTAAACACTCAGCAAATTCCTAGGCGAATTCCGCACTTTCATCTCTATTCTCGGTGATTCTACAAGCTACATGGCCTTCAGAGATGATCCATTTTTCAGGTAAAAGACTTATAAAGCTACAGTGTCCTCTATGCTTAAATATTTTCTATTAATACCTCCAGAAGACAACACTTTGGACCAATGAGTGGCTCTCCTTTTGACATCCACCGTCATCATGGCGATCATGCAGTTATGAGACGAGAACAGAGAGACCCTATGTTTGGAATGATGATGATGGACCCATTTGCACGTATGCAGTCAATGATGGCCAATTTTGTAAGTAGAATGAAAAACGAATATGCCCTTCCATCACAACAACTCATTCTCTCTCCTTTTTAGGATAATATGTTTGCTGCTGCACAGGAAGGAAGAGGTGGACACAGCTACTCTCAGAGTACAGTTATGCATTTCTCTTCAACGAACGGAAGGGACGGACAGCCTCAGATCTATCAAGCATCATCGTCAACTCGTTGTGCACCTGGCGGGGTAAGCCATGCACACCCATTGACCAAAGAATGATAAAATAACTAAGATAGATAAACGTGTACCTAATTGATTACTAACTTATTAATTTGCAGATAAAGGAATCCCGTAAGATGGAGAGGGATAGTACTACCGGAGTTCAAAAGACGTCTGTGAGTCATCAGATAGGTATGTTAGGATCCCTTGGTCATCATCTTATTTTTATATGATCCTCAATAGGTGATAAATCCCGTACCGTACAGCGAGAAGTGAATCTCAGAACCAACGAGAGAGAAGAGAACAGAGAGTACATTAATTTAACAGAAGGTAAGAGGAAGATTTTGAAAATGAAGAACAATGATAATTTTATAATTATTTTTTTTATTTTCAGAGGATGAACCATCTTTCAGTAGGGAATGGGATGAAAAGGCAAGGTCCTATCCAAGGAGTCTTGGGGTAGGCCCCAGTAGGCGTGATCATTACGCCCACTCAATGGGACTCCCCTCTGAACCAACTCATAGACAGGATCGGGGGATGTTTGTAGACCACACCCATTCATCTCCACCCATGTATCCAAGAATGCAACCATACAGTGTGGATAATGGTCAGAGAAAGAAGAGAGACAAAAAAGCAGCAAAAGTCACTTTTGATTAGAAAAGAGAAAGAGTCTTGAACTGCATGTATATATATGATGCTATTATCATTAAAAAACACTAATTTTAATGTTTAAGATACTGACATTATTATCAAAGATAGTTATTGTTTTAGTTTATTATTTCAGTGGTGATATCTCTATTGGTAGCAAACCTTTAACATAACTTTCCTTAGTATAAAGAACAGCCTGACCAACTGTGAAAGAGAGAGAGAGAGAGAGATAAATGCAATCAATGGACACTTCACTACCTGTGTCTCTCCATTCTTTATTCTCCTTGACTGCAATTGCTTGATCAAAACTCTCATAAGCCCAAAGCTCATACACTGCAAAAAATACACAATGCAGCATGTGACTATCATGTGACTTTTACATGCAATAACGCAATACCATTATCAGCTGGGCCAAATTCTGTTTTCCAGAATCCGATTGGTTGAGAGTGATGTGGTCTTGATGCCCAGCCTTGTTTCATTAAACTTTCCCATTGCTTGAAATGTCCAGGCATGAACGAACGCTGAATCAACTGAAATGCTAAGAAACACAATTATTTTCATTAAAAATTTAATACAGATTTATCTACCTCTTGGTTTATCAGTATTTTCCTCATTGAGTGGTGTCCACGGTAGCAAAGAGAGAGCAATGTTGCTCTGTTTCTTAATGCAAGGTAAAGCTGGCTTAACAAAATACTCTAGCCAATCTTTGTCTTGATATAAAGTCTTCCTTATGCTTGCTCTTTGTGTTAAACTATCTAGTAGACAGTTATTTTATTTTAAAATCAGCACTAACATTGGTTCTATAACATTACCATACTCCCACAAGTGTATAGTTTGGCTCAGAGCTCCTAGTTCGGAGGTCCAGTATCCAATCATGCGAGAATGAGCAGTCCTCAAGTGGAAATGAGAGTTTGAGAGCTGGATGAAAAAGGGGAGTTTTTCTGGTATGATGTCATATGTCCTCAGCTCATAGATTTTTGTATTGCTACTGCTGCTGTTGCGACTAAAAAAACTAAGCAAGGAACTAGTTGAGGACTGAGAAGCTCGAGGAGATATTCTCGAAAGCATATTTGTGCCAGCTTCAGGCAGGGGGCAGATAGTTGCTGCTTCCAAGTTCGAAGGAGTGGCTAGTTAATTATTTTAATAATTATTAAAATTACCAGCTGGCCCTGCTTTATGCTTTTGCTTGCCACCGAACCACCTTCCGTCTTCCGATGAATTGCTAACATGCTAAGGAGAATTGGATAAAACCATACGGTCTCAAAAAGCCTCTTATATCTCGTCGCATGTGGTTCATTCATCAGCTCGTGGGATCCACGGAGAAAAAACGTTTTAGCTAACATACATGCACACCGACTGGATATCCCTGGACATCATGTTGGGTCAAGTTATTTGTCAGGTATCATATCTATACATATATAATTACATATAGAAACACTGAAATGTGCATGTGCATGCATGTATATATTATACTGCACATGTTTATGTTGTGTCATTAAGTTTTTTACTGTAGTTGTGGATATGCATGTGGCTCAGTACAATGTACAATAATGGAATTGTTTATAAACTTAATGCCAATCCTGATTTATGCATGTACAGTATTATACTGCAATTTTGAGGCCTGGTTTACAGACTACAACTGCATTTTAAAGTAAAATGGATATGTGTCTCGTTTACATAAAACACGAGAAAACACATATCAATGAAATCCAAACAAAAGAAAAACTGATACTTCTATAAACAAAATTAATGATAAATTCTAATGAAAACGCAGCTGCTGGATTAGCTGAAAGCAGTTATAGCAAAAATGATGCAGATTTTTAGGCCAGTGTAGTCGTGTAAATGAGGCCTCAGTCATACAAGACCATTATCTGACCAAAAATATGTCTGTTTTACTTTTAAACTTAGTTGTGTAAACGAGGCCTAAATGATAATTATGCTTTATCATACAGGTCTTATTCATTATTGTCCCAGGCCTGAATGATTGAATATTCAAAGCTATATCACTTTCATTTGAGGCTGTGGATGTAGTGTATCTTCTTTGGTGCATTCGAGCTTGTCTGGGGTCAAATACTCACACTAATACCAGTGGAGAGGTTTCCTGCTATACGACTACCTTGGAAAAAGAAAGGAGATAATCAGCAAGGTACAAAATGAATTGTTTCTTGTTGGAAGGATTAGTATAAAAAGTACTGATTTATTAATACTACCCTCCTTTTTCCATGACAAATACCGGTAGAGAGGCTTCTGCTATACGACTACCTTGGAAAAAGAAAGGAGATAACCAGCAAGGTATAAAATGAATTGTTTCTTGTTGGAAGGATTAGTATAAAAAGCACTGATTTATTAATACTACCCTCCTTTTTCCATGACAAACTTCCATTTAATATGGTACATATATGATTTTATGTTTTTCTGAAAATTAGGACAAATCTTTCATATAAAATGTCACATTACATGTCTTGTTTCAAAAAACGTAATTCATGTTACATGTCTGTAACTTTGTGTTTTATGTGTGTTTCATGATTCATCCTCTTCGGCCCAAAGTGCATGAGCTGCTATAGATAATGATTTCCCTTAAAAGGTGAATGAGTTAGTACCAGCCTGATGTTAGCATCTTGAGCCAGTACAAGCATAGATATTATACACAGAACAGGATCACGTGAGCACATTATGCATTGAAACCAACCTAGTTTGCTGGGAACTGGTGACTGTAATGGAGATACTTTGTGGGACTCTAGCAACTACATTGGCCAACAAAGCAAGCTAGCAGGAGCCTTTATGGCTACTTCTTAAGGGTCTTTAGTGGAATAAGGCATCTATTAGTGCTTATGTGTATGTTTCAAAAGTTATGACATGCCAAAACAAAGAGATCTTAAGCCCGGATGCTATGGTCAAAATTAATACCCACCCTAAGGTAATAATTATTATTCATTGACCCCATGATATGATCATACATACTGGTAATGTAATTTTAAACAACAAATAGTATCACTGTTGCACTCTATGATCATTAAAATTAACTTTCAATTATTATTTCAGTGGTGATATGTCTATTGGCAGCAAGCCTTTAACATAACTTTCCTTAGTATAAAGAGTAGCCTGACAAACTGTGAAAGAGAGAGAGAGAGAAATAACATATGAGCAATGTTATGTTATTAAGTACTAATAAATGCTATATTCAATCAAAAGATACCTCATTACCTGCCTCTCTCCACTCTTCATCTAAACAAGCTTTCTCATTGACTGCAATTGCTTCATCAAAACTCTCATAAGCCCAAAGCTCATACACTAAAACAATACACAATCCTGCATGTGACTATCATGTGACTTTTAAGCAGTACCATTATTAGCTGGACCAAATTCTGTTTTCCAGAATCCAATTGGTTGAGAATGACGTAGTCTTGATGCCCAGCCTTGTCTTATTTGATGCTCCCATTGTTTAAAGCGTCCAGGCAAGAGCGAGCATTGAATTAACTGAAATGCTAAGAAAATCATTTAATAAAAAAATAAAAATACAATTAACATAAATGTAAAATTATGCATTATAGTACCTCTTGGTTTATCAGTATTTTCCTCGTTGAGTGGTGTCCATGGTAGCAAAGAGAGAGTGACGTTGCTTTGGTTCTTAATACAGTGAAAGGATTTACTAACGTAAGCTTCAAGCCACTCTTTGTCCTGTGAGAGGGCTTTCCTAACACTTGTTCGGTGAGTGTAACTATCTGATCGATATCATTAACAAAGATTAGTAAATCTAATCGATATTTACCATACTCCCACAAGTGTACAGTTTGGCTCAGAGCTCCCAGTTCGGAGGTCCAGTACCCAACCATACGAGAATGAGCAGTCCTCAAGTGGAAAAGAGAGTTTGTTAGCTGAAGAAAAGTTGGGAGTTTTTCTGGTATGATGTCGTATGTTCTTAACTCGTAAATTTTTCCATTGCTGCTGCTGCTGCTTCGACTAAAGAACCTAGAGAAAGAGTTTGTTGAGGTGAAACGAGAAGAAATTCTAAAGAACATGCTTGCGGCTCCAAGTTCGAGGGAGTGGCTAGTTAATTAAAATTATTAATTCATTATTTATTCATTGACCCCATGCAAGGTGAGCAGCCACGCCTTTGTTTATTTGCAAAAACACTTCACGCTACCTTTACCCTTCGTCAACATGTCTCAGAAAAGAGTCAGTCTTTACCTAAAGGTTCCAAAGAAGCCGGTAAACCTCCTCCATCAGCTGGAGAACAGTATGCTGGAGAGCATGATCGAGTACAAACCCATTGATCCGCACACAGGGAGTCCTTTGGATGAATCGCAAGGTGGAGCCTCGTACCAAATAAGAGGAACTGCAGATGTTGTCGATGGAGAACTACTGATAAGATTCAATGCTCGTCAGGCCGGCCTCCACACTGCAAGGATATTTGCAAACACTAAAGAGGTCTGCAGGCAGGTTGCATTTTTCGTCAAGTCCTCGGGAGAGGTTGAGAGCGTTCAGCTACCAATGGGAGGAGAGCAACTGCTTGACTCTGGTTTAGCTAGCGGGGCTAGTACAGTGAGGGGAGCCGAGACCAAACCAACTATTACTTCACCACCTTACAGGTCAGAATTAATAATTGAGAAAAAATTATTTTCCATTTCTATTATAGTGTTCCTCATTCACCAACTGTCATTCAATCCCCTCAAACTATTTCCACCGCCTTCAAGCAAAGCAGTCGTCCACCTTCATTCTTGTACGATGAATCAATGGGTACTACTGGGAACTATGCTGGTGAGCTCTTTGGTCGTCCATCTGGTGCTTCGTTTGAGCAACTGCTAACAGCAAAACAGACCAATCAAGTTGTGCCTGGGATACCACACTCATCCTCCAGGCCGGATTCAATGAGTGAGTACCTCACACCAGAGGCACTTCTTCAAATACACAGAGAAGCAAAGAAAAGTGTAGGGATAAGCTTTGGACTTAAAGTTAAAAAAAGGTAATAAGTGATGCCGTGATGCACCATCATAACATTTATAAAATATTTTATTTCTTTTAGGTGCGACATTTGTACTAGAAAAGTAAAGAGCATCAAGTGTGTTGAATTCTGGGAGATGAGTTTCTGTGACGGCTGCTGCAAGAGGAATTTTATGCTTAAGAGTGCCCTTGAACACTTCCTGGTAAAATTGAAGAATTCATCATATTTATATCTTTATTATGCACTTGCTCCAATATAGGTCCCATCAATTCAAGAATGCCAAGTCCAAGTGCCACGTGAGATATAAATAAATAAATGTATAGCTTTATTATTTTAAAAATTCCTTTTCAGTGAACAAGCGTGAAACGAAATTTGCTAAAGCAAGGAAAATCATGCCAAATGTTAACTTAAGAGGTAAACTAGACTATATAACCTGTACAGATAGAAACTGATCCACTAATAGGACTGGAGCCAAATGAAGTCCGTGATGCCATGGTAGAGTTCCACAAATTTGATGTGGAAGGGGATGGGTGGATGGATAAAGCAGTACTGCTACCAGTCCTAAAGGCATGCTTCACTTATTCACTGCCTGAGCAAGAGATACGTGCTCTGTTGACTAGCAAATCACTCTCCTCAATGGTAAGGAAACTGCATAGCTGAGAAAGAGCATACAAAATGAACATTATACCATGAATGCACTGCATGAGACTGTTGTGAGAGTATCAATTACATGCATTGTCATGCAATTAGATGCTAAATCTGTACTATTCACATATTTAGATTCAGACAATGGGTCTCAATGATCGCGAGAAGGTCCACCACATTGAGTTCCTTGCTCTACTGGCCTTCATATCACGAGAGAGGCAGAGGATAGCGAGGGACATAAGGTCAAGCAAAAAATCAAAATTTACAGCAAACGACCTCGACATGGCCTACGCATTTCAGCAACAGTTCCCGCCTGTTGGAGGAGCAATAGCAGCTGGACAAGTTGCAAAACCACGAAAACAAGTTTCAATCAAGCCACCGCAAAAACAGATTGGGGACTTGACGAGGAGCTATACAGACACTCCTCTTTCAAGTTACCAACCAACGGCAGTCAAGCAGAAGCCATACAAAGGTTTCATCTCTGGTATCAAGACCTCCCCATCTGTAGAGCTAACTGATGACCCACCAGCTCAATTTGATGAAGAGGAAGAGGAGGAGCCTGAAGAAGAGGCCACGCCTACTGTGCAAGAAGAAACAACCAATGCACCAATGACTGGGAAAAAGGATAAAAAAGCAAAGGTAATCATTGTTAAAATAAAATTAAAACTTATCTTGTTTAGATGGAGGAACTTAAAATAACTGGAGACCAGCGAGCTGATGGATGGATGATGTACTAAGCTGCCACAAAAAAACCACAACTGCAAAACTTGACTTTAACACTGCACGTTATGTACATAGTTTAAGAAAAGCTGAAAAGAAACTAATTACAATTTTTCATTAATTATTATTAATAGATTGCACATTTTTTTGGAATTATAAAAATGTTTCGATATTAATTTCCAGAGCAGAAGCAGGCATGTTTAGATCAAAAGAAGTCGTCACTTCTGGATGGACCACGCCCAAATGACCAATCCTCTGGCCGAAGGCAAAAACCTCCGCACACCAACCAGGAAAGAACGTAGAATCTATTGAGTGAAGTGTGATGTGAGATGAAGATTGAATACCGTACCTGAAGTAGGTTTAGTGCAGTAGCCATTTTCTTCAGAGAAAGACACGTTAAGCATTTGCATGACTCTATCGAGCAAACCATGTATCACCTTTAGGAGAAAAAATACCCTAACTCATTCCCATTCTCTATAGATTCAAACCCATACTCCCATGCTCAGGTTCCCATACCTCAAAGCCAGGTCTCTCCCTAACTCATTCCCATTCTCTATAGATTCAAACCCATGCTCCCATACTCAGATTCCCATACCTCAAAACCAGGTCTCTTTCCATAATACACGGCACAGAGTCTCCTCTCATTCCGTGCCCCCACGTCTACAAAAAAAAAACCAAAGCATGGCTACTCACTGATTGGGCTAGCAAACCTTTAGTGCTGTCCTTCAAAACAACGTCCGAGATCTCAAATATCTTAAGAGGTAGAGGCATTCTCTTGTTAGCCGATATAGTCTTTAGTATACCAGGCAATAGGCTAGTCCTTGCCACCTGCAGTACGAGGTAATATCAAGACTCCACACTCCCTCTTACTTGGAATTCGCTGGCCTTTGGGTTGCAGATGTGAACAGCTGGTATGTCCTTAAGGTCTTTCCTTAGGTTTGTGGCTACGTCATCGCGAGAGCAAAGAGCAAAAGTGAGAGCTTCGGTGAATCCTGTGAAAGCTACCTCCAGTCGCAACTGATCAGTCAACTTGTTAACTGGAAGCTAAAGGAAAGAAAGAAGAACTGGGGATTAAAATATAAATAAAGAACTATATTCACCTGCTTGGCAACAGTGTTAGTGGTGGGGAAGGTCATTTCTACATTATTGAAACCGTATGCTATAGCAAGATCTTCAGCAACATCACAAGGATGAAGAATATCTGAGAAAGAAAAAAATATAACAAAGAGTGAAGATGCTCTTTACCTGATCTTGTGGGAGGTACCTCTACTTTCACGTTAGCCCCATCCTCCATAACTTCACTCTTCAGACACATTCGAGTCAGGAGTGAAGCAATGGAGTGGGCAGTTTCCTTCACGCCCACACTCTTATTAATATAATCAACTGGGATCACTTCATTACGATATTTTAACTCCTAAAATTTTTTAAAGCAATAAAAATAGAGAGTTGAAAGGTTACCGGAAACATTTGAACATTTCCATCAGGAAACTCAACCTCGACACCTTCCACCCTATCGTCATAGTAACCAAATGACCACACCCACAAAAGACTCACGTGAAAGGTTTCTCACAGTATTCACTGAACATTGTGACGAGAGTGTCCAACACAATCTTACACTTGTTGAGGTCAGTGCCAGTAATGTCAATGAACACGTTTCGAGTGTTGAGAGTAATTTTTGTGTGATTACCTTTATAAAAAAAAGATAGAAAATTAATTTAGGGCCTTAAAAATTTGCAAATTAAACATTGTATGTCCTCGTGTCAAATCTAAGATTGGAGCAGGTGAGAACTTACTGTTAATGATTGGGGGCATTGAGAGAACTACTTTATTCTTATCATATATAATAGGGTAGACTGGCTTGTCTTTAATAATTGGGAGATATGACTTTAAATGACTATCCCGCTTCAAAAGAGAGAGAGGGAGAAGAGAGATAAGTTAAAAAAAGGTAATCCTAAGCTTACATAAAATTCCATCATTTCAACAGCAGTCATCTCTTGGCTCTAAAATTAATAATAAATAAAGTAAAGTGAGAAATTGCAATTGTATAATCATAGTGCAGTACTTGGTTCAATGGGACAAATTTTATCTTTTCAGGAGGAAGTGCCTCGTATGTGAACGGACCTTCTATTGTGTCTAGATCATGCGTTCCCATGGAAACGATTGTTCTCTTCCTAATAAATAATAAAAAGAAGTTGTCATTATCAGACTCAGGACATAAGAAATTAAGAACTACATTTTCTGATGCACATTGCTGTGTAGCAAGTTTGAGCTGATTCCGACAAATAATTTTTGAGTGCTGAGCACTTTGAAAAACGGGCCAGTTTTTGAAAATACCCAAGGCTATAGCCCATGGTTTTTTTCAAAAAATGGCTCCGAAATCACCCCAAATTTTTATTACATTTTTTGATACATATTGATGTCCTTATGCTGTGTAGCAAGTTTGAGGTGATTCCGACTTCAATTTTTCAAGTTACGGCCATTTTAAGAAAACATCAAAATTCTGAAAAATACCCAAGGCTATAGCCCATGGTTTTTTCCAAAAAATGGCTCCGAAATCACCTCAAATTTTTATTACATTTTCTTATACATATTGATGTCCTTATGCTGTGTAGCAAGTTTGAGCTGATTCCGACTTCAATTTTTCAAGTTACAACCATTTTAAGAAAACGTTGAAATTCTGAAAAATACCCAAGGCTATAGCCCATGGTTTTTTCCAAAAAATGGCTCCGAAATCACCCCAAATTTTTATTACATTTTCTTATACATATTGATGTCCTTATGCTGTGTAGCAAGTTTGAGCTGATTCTGACTTCAATTTTTCAAGTTACAACCATTTTAAGAAAATGTCAAAATTCTGAAAAATACCCAAGGCTATAGCCCATGGTTTTTTCAAAAAATGGCTCCGAAATCACCCCAAATTTTTATTACATTTTCTGATACATATTGATGTCCTTATGCTGTGTAGCAAGTTTGAGCCGTTTCTGACAAATATTTTTCAAGTTATTAGCATTTAAAAAACAGATGAGAAGGATATTATAATCACCTTCCTAAGTTTTGGTGAAGTTTGTCCTGAAGCTCAATAAAGCTATTGTAGCTTGCCTAAGAATAAAAACAACACAATAGTTATCCTCCATCATCCCCTCACTTGAGTGAACTCAATATTCCTAAGTACAGCTCCCATACCAATGGGCCTCACTTGACTGGTCTAACACATTAAATACAGTTTCCATTAGACATGGGCAGTACAATCTTACTTCGGGTAAAACTATAAACTTTTGCGGCTTCACATCAGGTGGGGGTGAGACCCGTACATATCGAGGTACCTCCAGCCTTAATATTAAAATAAATTAAAAATAACATCGTAACTTATAATACTTGTCTAGGAAAACCAGTAGACCTCTTGTAAGACCTTCCATGCAGAGCAAGTCATACCTAATGTATTACATGGTAACAAAATTGAGTCTCTTTACTTGTATTACCGATTAGCGGGGACTTCTATTTTATAAATAATGCTGTCAGATGCGTTTTTAGCTTTCTCTGCCCCTTGTTCCCTCGAGAGTATCTGCTTCTCTGACGTCTAATGGTAAAGGGTTTCATTAATATGCACACAGTCTCTCTTTTTCTCACTATGTCGTCTAATTCAATACCAAAATCAAAACAAAGTTCTTCAAATTCTTCATCACCTAATAAAAAGAGAAAGTCACGTGATCTAGGGCTCCTTAACTTACTGTAGGTCTTTCCCAGTGCTTTGAAGAGCAAGTCTCTTGGTACATCAATTGTTGGCATAATGGCTGAAAAACTAGGGCACGTGGAAATGAATAATTAATCAGTTAATAACCTAATTTTAATGATAAATGAATATTAAATAGCTGAGCTCATGAATGATTAATTGTTTACGTGGGCGTTTCCGAGAAAGTGGGCGTCACAGAGAAAGTGGGCGTTTCCGTTTAGCAATGGAAACTTCTGCAATAGTTATTGACAATGGTACAAGGTCCATTAAAGTCGGATTTTCTGGTGATGATAATCCAAGGGCAGTCCTCCCTTCAGCTGTTGGCATTTCGAAACAATCCAAAAGTGCAGGAGAGCAAGTTGGGGAGGAACCACTTAAAAGACGTGACCTCTATGACATCAAGTTTCCAATAGAGCGTGGGATCATAAAGGACTGGGACAACATGGAAAAGATATGGCACTGTGCGCTGTACAATGAACTAAGGATCCCTCCAGATGAGCACCCTGTACTACTAACAGAGCCTCCACTCAACCCACGTGCAAACAGAGAGAAAATTGCTCAAATAATGTTTGAGACTTTCAGTGTACCAGCAACATACATATCGCTCCAGCCACTCCTCAGTCTCATCTCTGCCGGTAGAACCAATGGCATTGTACTTGATTCTGGTGAGGGAGTTACCAGCATTGTCCCAATATGTGAAGGGGTTGCTCTGCCTCATGCAATACTGCGACTTCACCTCAGTGGCTGTGACCTCACCGACTACCTGCTACGCCTAATGACTGAAAGAGGGTACTATCTTGAAACTCCCAGCGAGAAAGAAATGGCTCCAGATATTAAAGAGAAACTCTGCTACGCTGCAATTTCCCCGGATGAAGAATCAGCTAAAAGCGAGCAAGAGCTTGAGAAGAACTACGAGCTACCAGATGGGCGTCAAATCACACTTGGAAGCGAGAGGTTCCGATGTGCAGAGGCACTATTCCAACCTTCACTGGTAGGTCTACCTTATAGTGGATTCCATCAAAGCATACTAAACTCAATAAATAAATGTGATATGGCAGTGAGACGAGATTTATATGGAAACATAGTGGTCTCTGGAGGCAATACTCTACTCACTGGGTTTACTGATCGATTGGAGAAGGAGCTTTTCCTTATATCTCCTTCTACCGTTAATATTGAAATGGTATGCCCTCCGGAGAGAAAGTTCAGCGTTTGGGCTGGAGGATCGCTCCTTTCGTCTCTCTCCTCTTTCCAGGATATGTGGATACTGAAAGAGGAGTATGAGGAGAGAGGACCATCTATTGTGCATAAGAAATGCTCCCACAGCAACTGAAGACACTCGTTTATATAGATCAGCCTGATCAAAGAACAAAAAATTAATGATCTATGCTATGATGCTATTAATATTATTATAAAATAATAATATTTACATTTTATATTATTTTTGATTTATAATCCACATAAAATTAACATTTCATACCTTTTCTCTTGTTAAATCTGCTCCTAGTGCATGCAGACTGTAGTCTATGCAGACTGACAATAGATTTTTTCAATTTTGAATGAGTAACATCAATACACGTGATTGCACGTGTTATTGGGTGGGGCATAATATGTAGTATACCCAAAGAATACGGAGTAATACTGGTATTTTAAAAGAAAAGCAGAAATCCACAAGAATTTGGCCAGAAAGGAGGAGAAAACGATAATAATATGAGATGGAATCGTCCTCGGACGAAGACACAGAGAACACTAGTAGTCATCCAGTATCACTGAAGAAAGAACTGACCCTATTCAGCACAGTATCACTGGTGATAGGAAGAATCATTGGATCTGGTATATTCATCACTCCCTCCCGTGTGCTACTCTATTCTGGCTCCTTTGGGCTAGCATTGATACTATGGACAGCAGGTGGATTCCTTTCAATAGGAGGGGGACTATGTTACGTAGAGTTGGGGAACATGATTAGGAACTCAGGGGCAGAGTATGCATACTTGAAGGAAGCATACACTTTCAAAAGGAAAAAACCGGCGTCTGTGGTTTGTGGCAATCTACTAAGTTTTCTCTTCTCGTGGACACACGTATTCTTTATTATGCCATCAAGTAATGCCGTCATTGTTTTGGCTTGCGGTAGATACTTTATGCAAGCCGTGGCCGGTGGGGAGACGCCTCCTGACGTCTCCGTTAAATTATGTGCACTTGCTGCCATCACGTTTATTACCCTAATCAATGTCTATAGTCTAAGATACACTGCAATTTTTGTCAATATAACGGCCGTAGCCAAAGTCCTGGCCCTTCTTTTTGTAACGTCTCTTGGAATACGGCAGCTTGCGAAAGGAGACCACAATAACAATTTTACATCCTCTTTTGAAGGCACTAGCACATGCGTGGGTGAAATCGTACTTGCTTGCTATTCGGTGACTTTCTCGTACGACGGTTGGAATGGAATCGGATATACCGTTGAAGAAAACAAGAATTCGAAAAGGAATTTATTGCTTGGAGTTCTCATAGGAGTCCCTTGTGTAACTGTCTGTTATTTATCAGTCAACATTGCTTATTTTGCAGGACTCAGTAAAAGTGAATTGCTCTCTTCTCCTGCTACAGCTCTAACGCTAGCCCAAAGTACACTCGGTGATGCTGGACTAGTAATCATACCACTAATGGTAGCTATATCAACAATTGGGTCTGCCACTGCTGGAGTATTTTCAGGCTCTAGGATAGCCTTCACGACTGCACGCGATGGGAACTTAATGAATGTCTTTGGTTTGATACACAATAAGTTTCAGACACCAATAGTGGCAGTAATAATTCAAGGAGTCATAACTGCATTTCTACTAATGATAGCTGGAAGTATTGGTAGATTAATTGACGGGCTCACTATATTGGGAGCAATAAATTCTACACTTGTATTTGTGGGTTTGCTAATAATGAGAATCACTAGAAGAGAGGAACACAGACCTTTTAAAGTGTGGTTTGTAATACCCATACTGATGGCACTCACTTTTGCATTCCTTGCTGTTGTGCCTATTTTTCTAGTATCCAATGAGAGAATCTACTTACTCGCTCCATTAATGCTACTTATTTCTGGTATACCCATTTATTTTTTACTAGTATGGAGGAGATGGAGGCCAAAAATTTTAAACAAAGTAACAAGGAAGCTGGATAGAGTTTTTATACTGCTACTGGATTCATCTTTACCATTTGTTGATATGTCTAATGAGACAGCTTCAAATGAAATGGTTTTATTCACTGCAGGTCATGATCAGTAATGATAATTGTTTTTATTTTTAAAAATCATTTTTAAATATTTTCATTTTAAAACCATAGAGGAAGTTTCCCACGTGACAACACGTGGGTAGAGTTTCTTACATGTGGGCGTTCCTAGCCACACCCACATTACACATGGCTGCAACTAGTGAGTCTGCTAAGCCTGACGAGGAGGTCCAGGAGCTTGTGGCTATACTGGACGCTGGAGCTCAATATGGAAAGGCAAAGGAGACGCATAAATAATGTCCTTTTATTTTATGATCCTTCATCCTGCAGGTGATCGATAGAAGAGTCAGAGAATTGAATGTGAACACCATAATCTTCCCACTAGAGACATCAGCTGAAGAACTGTACCACAACAACCTCAAGTACAATATATTATATTATGAAAATATATTATGAGTGTTAAGAAACTTATCATAATTACTGTATAAGTGGTTTTTAAGGGGTGTAATTTGCAATGATTTTATGAATTTTAAAATGAAATTTGCAAAAATTAAAAACTACAGATGCTATTTTTTGAAAGAACCCACTTATATGGTATTTTAAAAATCCCACCATTAGGGCACTAATCATTAGTGGGAGCGGTAACAGTGTAAATGACTCCTCCCCTATCCATTATGATCCAAACATATTCTCACTGGGCGTTCCCATCCTTGGGATTTGCTACGGTTTCCACACGATCATCAAGCATTATGGTGGGGAGGTCTCGAAGGGGATGATGAGAGAGGACGGTCAGTTTGAAGTGATCCTTGAGACTGATAATAATTCGTTATTCGAATCAATGGAGAGGAATCAACAGGTCCTATTAACACATGGAGACTCTGTGAAAACGGTAATACTTATGTAAATTGTAGATTGTATGTGTACATGTACTTTAATTTATGAATTTTAGAGTAGCATTACTGTGTTGCATTTAATCAGTATCAGTATTAAATATTTATAATAATAATAATAATAATAATAATAATAAGTATCAATATTGATGAACTAATGAGAAGAGAAGAGAGTAAACTAAACAAAACAGAAAATATAAATTATTATTATTATTATTATTATTATTATTATTATTATTATTACTATTAGGTTCCGGATTGTTTAAAGGCAATAGGTTGGTCTGGTGAGCTCATAACAGCTGTACATCACATAACTGACCCTGTGTATGGCGTCCAGTTTCATCCTGAGGTCGATCTCACGATAAATGGCAGACAAATTCTTAAAAACTTTCTTTATCAGGTACGTATGCAACCTGGGTTTCCCACAATATTTTGGTATAGTGCTCAACTTTTTGCCAACTCATGAGGTGTGTGATGTTTAGCTATAGAGCTTGTAGAAAACTTTGATCCATGGTATTTTGTCAAAAATAGTTGGGAGAGAATATTCTATTTTTATAATGTTTTCTGATGCATATACATGTTCTTATGTTGTGTAGCAAGTTTGAGCTGATTCCAATCAAATTTGGATTTTTTACGAATTTTTAAAGTTACTCAAAAATTGAGCTAAAGTCCCTGTACTATGGTACAGGGTCTTCGGCCAAATTTTGCCAAAAATGACTAGGAGAGAATTCTTCATTTTTATAATGTTTTCTGATACATATACATGTTCTTATGTTGTGTAGAAAGTTTGAGCTGATTCCGATCAAATTTGGATTTTTTACGAATTTTTAAAGTTACTCAAAAATTGAGCTAAAGTCCCTGTACTATAGTACAGGGTCTTCGGCCAAATTTTGCCAAAATTGACTAGGAGATAATTCTTCATTTTTATAATGTTTTCTGGTACATATACATGTTTTTATATTGTATATCTAGTTTGGGCCGATTCGGATTTAAATTTGATTTTTTATGAATTTTAAAAGTTACTCCAAAAGCAAATTCTCTGCATGTATTATTATATCTTTCTCAATCCAGATCAGTGGCTGTCATGGTTCTTATCATCTCTCAAGTCGTGAGGCGTCTTGTCTCGAATACATTCGAGACAAAGTCGGGGAGGGGCATGTCTTGGTAAGGCACACCCACTCTCAATCTCGTTTTATCCTTATATGGTAGTCACTCGTCAGCGGTGGTGTGGACAGTACTGTTAGTACAGCACTTATATCAAAAGCGTTGGGCCCAAATAAAGTGACTGCCGTACATATTGATAATGGATTCTTAAGGAAGAACGAGATTGAGCAAGTTGTAGCATCACTGGCACGACTAGGCATTTCAGCCCAAGGTAAGACTTTGTATAAAAAATATATAAATCTTATATTTAATTTTATAAGAAATACATTTAATAGTTTATTTTATTTTCTTCTTTCTCTCTCTCTCTCTCTCAGTAATAAGAGCTTCTCTTAGATTCAGTTCTGCCTCCACCATAATGAACTACAGGGACAAAGACGGGAGCATTTTCAGACAGGCCACGCCTCTCCTTAACACTGTCATAAACCCGGAGGAAAAGCGTCACATTATCGGAGACGCTTTTGTCACCCTTGCCTCTTCAATGCTTAAAGAGCTGGACTCAAAAGGAAAGAGACCTATATTCCTTGCTCAAGGTAACGACTAAAATTAAATTAGTAATATTTATGTAAATTTTTAATAATTTTTTAATGTAGGTACTCTACGGCCTGATCTTATAGAATCGGCTTCTTCCCTAGTGAGCGCTAATGCTCACGTCATCAAGACTCATCATAATGACTCGCCTCTTGTCCGAGAGCTAAGGAAACAAGGACTCGTGCTAGAGCCACTCAGCGACTTTCATAAAGATGAAGTACGACAGCTCGGACTCTCACTAGGTAATACAAATACATTAAGATAATGATTCAAATTGATTAGGCACATTAATTTATTTTATATGCCTCATTGTATAACATGTTATAGACTTTCCTTACCTCTCAGATATTCCAGAGAGTATAGTAAACAGGCATCCTTTTCCAGGCCCTGGGTTAGCCATTAGAATCATATGTCAGGAAGAGGCTATTATTAGAGAAGATTTCTCAACCATCAACTCCATTTTGAATACAATAGCCACTTATGCACAGTGCCTAGAAAAGGTACGTGTATAATGTTATATTATTATTTTTATCTTCAAATAATTATTATTTTATTGGTTTTATTAGCCTAGTTCTGTGTTGCAGTTCCTGTCAATGATACAAGACTGCACTAGCTCGAATGATCAGGCTTTCCTCTCAGAGCTCTCAGCTTCACTGACTTACTTCATCACTTTATTACCAATATACACTGTTGGAGTACAGGTGAGCTAAAATTATTTGAAAAAGGAGCTAAATTTTGGAGTAAAACATGCACTTATATTAGCCTATGGTAATTTCAGATATGAGCATATTTTGACAAAATGTGTTTAGAATTGGCTGAAAGCCTGAAACTTCTTACAGACTAGATCTGTTATTGTTTAGGGTGACTCCAGATCATATAGTTATGCTGCTGTCATTTCATCTGATGACGAAAGCAAATTCAGTTGGAAGGACAGAATGAAACTAGCCAAACTATTACCTAAAATACTCCACACTATTAACAGGTGAACCTGATTGCACAAGATTATATATGCATGTACATACATGTATATGTATACTTCCATTTATTGTCCTTCATAGAGTTGTATGGGGTTTTGGAAAGGCCATATACGGGCCGGTCTGTGACGTCACTCCCACTCATTTGACAACTGGGATTATAGCAACACTAAGAGAGGCTGATCACCAAGCCCATAGCGTCCTTGCATCACATGGTAAGTTAAATAACATTACTTTATGTGCAGTTAAAAGGTTGCTCTAAAGATAAACAATTTTCAAGCATAAATAAAATAACTTTTGTCAATAACTATTTCCTTGTTGCTCACTTTTTTCTTTATAATAAAATAGTTTAAGGGCTCAGTTCCCTTTTAAAAGGCATAAATAATAATAAGATATTGAAATATAACTATAATAGCAAAGCGGATCATAGTCAAGTATGACAATCTTTATTTCATAGGTTTAATGGGGTCTATCAGTCAGATGCCTGTAGTACTAATCCCGATTCATTTTGATCGTAACTATCAAGAGATTGCTGCCTTCCCCTCGTGTCAGCGCTCAGTTGTATTGAGACCTTTCGTCACTTGCGACTTCATGACTGGAGTACCAGCCATGCCTGGGGAACACATACCACTACAGGTAATACCGATAATAATTATTGGGTGTGGTCAATACTGATTAATTATTAATGGGTGTGGTTGATATTATTATTATTACTACATGTATTAATTTGTGGTAGCCCTTCTTCTATTTAAAAAGACATGTATTTGCTGTATCGTAAAGTTTCTAAATATTTTCTTTTAAATTGTTTTGTAGGTGTTAGATGAAATGGTTGCTGCCATAAAGCAGGTCCCAGGCTTATCTCGTGTTCTCTATGATCTCACTCCTAAACCGCCCGGAACCACAGAATGGGAATGAGTCCCATACCGATCCCTCGCTAGTGTATTATAATTGACAATTATATAGAATTAAATTATTAGAGTTTAAATTATAAATTATACACCCTCATTTCTCTTTGAGATAGTAACTCCATGTTTCGTTGCTAGGGGGCGGGGCTTCTACGGGTAAAAGTGGGAGGGGTGTCCCTCTAATTGAAAGATATTTGTTCCATTCTAATCGCCTTTCTTCGATTATGTCAGGATCTTTTGTGTTATAAAATTCATCAGTGGACATTATTCTCACTTTGTCTCTAGTGGTTTTTCTACCAAACTGATCAGTTATGGCACTGTCCACTCTCTCCGACATCATCACTCGTAGCGCATGCTCCTCCTTCTTGTATATCTCAGTATACTTGCTCAGTATACTCTCTAATTTGACACAGTTCTCAGTAAATGCCTCGTCTTCTTCCACAGGAGGGAGGTCACCTTTGTCTCTCTTTGATCTTCGGTGTTCCCTTAGATCTTTAAGAGAACTTAATAAATTAGAGTAATAGATGATGTCGTCTTTTTTGCTCTTTACAGCTGTGAGTGAATCAGATGCTGATTCCTCTACTGCTTTCTCTAGACGAGCTCTCAGCTGTTCTTTACATTTCTTGTCAAACCATTCTTTGACTTTGTTTGATTTGACGTCATTTTCTCTCTCTCGCTCATCCTCCTCTCTCTTTCTTTTTAGCTTCTTTCTTTCATATCGGTTTAATCTTCTCTTCATGTAACGGCATGTTTGAGGTGTAAATACATCAAGTGTTGTTTCCAGTGATTGACGTCTCTCCATCACTTCACTCCAAAGTGGTATTGCAGCTGTAGCAGTTGTTTCAGAGGAGCTTAGTTGTTTATGTAGGGTCTTTAGTTTGCTCACGTGATCTTCAGCTGACTTCATTAGAGTCATTAGTTCATTTAGTTTGGGTTTTCTGTTGCTGTGTAGTTGCCTAGTCCTCAGTGTAGCCTCCCATTGCTGGAGAATGAAACCAGCATCAGTGTGCAGTGGATAGGAAGAGAAAGAAGAGAAGTTAGAGACCATGGAGCAGCACGTGTCAGAAAAAGGGTGTGGCTGACTGGTCTGAATTAATAATTAATTAATAATAATAATTCCAGTACATAGAAATGATTAATCCATTGTTCATGTTGTTCAATACCACCCACATTTTAAATGATGGAGGCCGAGGGTGGAAATGAAGTAAGCTTTAAATTTTAGTAAAACTATTAATGCTTCTTTAAACATATAGAATTTGAACGAAGAAAGGCAGGGAAACATGAATAGATATGCAATAATGGCTGTATTTGTTGCTGTTGTGATTGGTGTTGCTCTATTCTTTAATAATTATATATACATGGATAGAAAAGAATAAGCTGTCAACAATTGAAGAATTAGACTCATTGAATCGTACATTAATTGAGTGCAAGAAGAATCTAGCAGAAAGAGACAATGAAATAGCATTAAATCAGAAAGAGTATGAAAGATCCCTTGCAGAAAAAGAGTCAAGAATAGAGATTTATGTTGCTCAGCTTAGTCGACAAGATAAATTTCTGAATATGCTGGATGATTGCATTAAACGAATGAGTGCTGTGAATGAGACAGAGGTGAAATTACAAATGGGGAAATTGCAAGGAAGATTAGAAGAAAAAGAGAAAACAGCAGCTGCCAACGTTTTTTCATGTGCGGAGACTATTAAAGAGAAAGAAAAAAAGATTGATGTTCTGCTTAAAGACGTAACGTCATTGACCAAAGATTTCGAACGATGTCAAAGTCAGAAGGAGAATATGTATGAGAAACATATGGATTGTGAAAACAAACTTCGTAAAACTTGGTTTTGATATCTACTTGTTTTGAACTTTTGAGTTTTGAATGACTAACATACTTGTGGGCGTTTATAATAACCTTGTTAATGACAATTATTCATTGCAAGTCATGCTCACGTGTATGTCACCATAGATACAGTTACAACACTGTTGATGTACTTGGGTGTATGCATTGTAAGTTGTTTACAAAATTGGGATGGGGAGACCAATGAAGGGCAGGAACCAAGATGAAGTATGTTTGTTGTGTATCAGACATCAATTAATGTAACAGTTCATTTTAGAATTTAACAGAAGAAGAAAATGCAGATCGAAATACTAGACGTGGCTTTCTAGTAGTTGTAGTTATTGTTGTTGGTTTAGCTATACTACTCAGTACTACTTGTGGGGACACTGACATAGAAAGGAAGGAATTGCAGCACAAATTGACTTGGTGTAAGGCTAAATTATCATCAAAAGGGAAAGACCTTAATGAAAAAGATAGCCTAATAAAGGTCATGGAGGCAAACTATCAAGTGTTACTAGAAACAATTAAACCTCTACTTGAACAGAGCATTAATTGCGGTGAGGTCAAAATGCAACTGGGGAAATTGAAGGGTATAGTAGAGGAACAGGATAGAACAGCATTGTCTAACATTATGAGGCATGATGAGGCAGATAAAAGAAAAGAGATGAAGATTGATGGTCTGGTTGGAAACGTATCATCATTGCTTGTAGAACTTGCAAAATGCCAGAAAAAGAACGAAAACGTGAATGAAAAAATTGTAGGTTGTGACAATGACCTTCAAGAATGTAAAAACAATCTTAAAAAGTGTTGGATTTAACTATTTTATTCGCTACCCTTGCTATACTTTTATAAAAATAGAAATTTGAGCTACACATTTGCAATTTTTTTAATAAAAACAAAAATTTGAGCTATGCATTTGCAGTTAGATGTAAGTACTGGTATATGGATTGCCCAAAAAACTTGACTTGGGTGTTATTGTCTATACATGTACATGCTGGAGGATTGTGAGGAAATTTTTCTTTTAAAGGTGTTAGATGAAATGGTGGCTGCCATAAAGCAGGTCCCAGGCTTATCTCGTGTTCTGTATAATCTCACTCCCAAACCGCCTGGAACCACAGAATGGGAATGAGTCCCATACCAATACCCTCGCTAGTGTATTATAATTGACAATTATATAGAATTAAATTATTAGAGTTTAAATTATAAATTATACGCCCTCATTTCTCTTTGAGATAGTAACTCCATGTTTCGTTGCTAGGGGGCGGAGCTTCTATGGGCAAAAGTGGGAGGGGCGTTCCTCTAATTGAGAGATATTTGTTCCATTCCAATCGCCTTTCTTCAATTATGTCAGGGTCTTTCGTATTGTAAAATTCATCAGTAGACATTATTTTCATTTTGTCTCTAGCGGTTTTTCTACCAAACTGATCAGTTATGGCACTGTCTACTCTTTCCGACATCATCACTCGTAGGGCATGCTCCTCCTTCTTGTATATCTCAGTATACTTGCTCAGTATACTCTCTAATTTGACACAGTTCTCAGTAAATGCCTCGTCTTCTTCCACGGGAGGGAGGTCACCTTTGTCTCTCTTTGATCTTCGGTGTTCCCTTAGATCTTTAAGAGAACTCAATAAATTATAGTAATAGGTGACATCGTCTTTTTTGCTCTTTACAGCTGTGAGTGAATCAGATGCTGATTCCTCTACTGCTTTCTCCAGACGAGCTCTCAGCTCTTCTTTACATTTCTTGTCAAACCATTCTTGGACTTTGTTTGATTTGATGTCGTTTTCTCTCTCTCGCTCCTCCTCCTCTCTCTTTCTTTTTAGCTTCTTTCTTTTGTATCGGTTTAATCTTCTTTTCATGTAACGGCGTGTTTGAGGTGTAAATAGGTCAAGTGTTGTTTCCAGTGATTGACGTCTTTCGGTTACTTCACTCCAAAGTGGTATTGCAGCTGTAGGAGTTGATTCAGAAGAACTTAGTTGTTTGTGTAGGGTCTCTAATTTGCTCACGTGATCTTCAGCTGACTTCATTAGAGTCATTAGCTCATTCAGTTTGGGTTTTCTGCTGCTGTGTGGTTGCCTAGTCCTCAGTGTAGCCTCCCATTGCTGGAGAATGATGCCAGCATCAGTGTGCAGTGGATAACTTGAGAAGGAAGAAAAGTTAGAGAACATGATAAGGCACGTGTCTGAAAAGGTGTGGCTGGTTCATAATGCCACCCACATTTTAATGATGGAGAATAGAAATGAAGTATGTTTTAGTTTCTCATAAGTCATTATAATAACTGTATATGCTTCTTTGTATAGAATTTGAATGAAAACTGGGAGCTGTACACGAAGAAGTATTTTAATAAATCACTATTAGTTTTAGTCGTTGCTGTTGGTGTTGGTATATTTTTTTATAATTTCACATGGATAGGGAAAGATGATTTGTACGATTTAAAGAAAGGGTTTAATGATACAATTGTTGAGTTAAATGCAACAAAAGATGAGTTGAATGCAACAATTGATGGACTAGATGCAACAAAGGCTGAGTTAGATGCAGCAAAGGATCAGCTGCAAATACTAATGGAAAAGCTAAATGCAACAAAGGAGGAGTTGAATCTAACAGAGGAAGAATTGAATGTAACGAAAGAGGGGTTGTACGTGAAAAAGGAACAATTTGAATTATTGAATCGCAAGTGCAAGAAGGATTTAATGGAAAAAGAAAATGAAATAGCATCGAATCAGAAAGTATATGAGGCAGCCCTTAAAGGTAAAGACGAAAGGATTGATGGCTATATTGATCAAATAAGTAAAGTTATTGGATTAATGACAAATGACCACCGCACTATGAAGGAATGCAGTGATTTACAAGTGCAACTAGCAAAATTACAAGGCAAAATTGAAGAGCAGGAAAAAACAGCAATGTCTAACTTTTTGGCTCACGATGAAACTGTTAAAAGAAAAGAGAAGAAAATTGATGATCTAGTGGAAAAAGTTTCATCATTGCGTACAAATCTTACAGCATGTGAAAAAGACCATAGCAACCTGTATGAAAAATATGCAGATTGTATTGATAAACTTGCAGACTGTAATGGTAAACTTAAAAAGTGTTGGTTTTAGTTAAGTTACTATTTTTAATAAGAACTTTGAACCACACCTTTGCATGCTTCTCCCACGCATTGATTAATGAATCGTGGGTGTTAAATGTGCATGTGCTGTGCACGAGGAGGTGTGGCTAGGAATTCTATAAAGTCGTTGAGCCACGCTTTTACACACAAGCTAAGTTTTTTGCTTTCTTTCTCTCGAGAAGAAGAGATCTTTGCAGGTCCTCTGGATCTTCACTTTCACCTTAGAGGTATGCTATTTGGAAGAGGCTGTGAGCCTAGCTTGAAGAGATACTCGAGGGAACTGGGCGACAGCAAGAAGAGACTGAACAAGTCCCGCCTTTGTTATCGCTCTCATTGTTGCTCTGCTTGGCATCTTTCTAATGAAATTCAACCGTACTCATCAACACTCTAATACTATTCCAATGGCAACGGATCCAACTATTAGTTTTATTGCCGGAGGGTGAGTGTTGTACAACATGATGTCATTATTATGTGTGATTTCATTTTTCATCTTTTTAAAAAATTCAGGTTGGCAGGAGGTATTGCAACTATTGCCACATCACCACTCGAAGTCATTAAAACCAGGCTACAGGTAATTTTTATTGTTATTTGTTAAATGAGAACAAGGTGTGAAAATGTTTAAAATAAAGCAAATTTTATTTCTTTTAAAATCTCTCCGTTTTCATCTCTTCCCCTACAGTCAAATGTTGGTCAGGAAGTAATGAAATGTTATCGATTAGTCCCTGGGAACATTCTAAATACGTCACCTTATGTCTACCAACAGCATCATAACGGAATCGTGGCTGGACCCCGATTTTTTAATTATGCAAGGTCAGAAAAAGCCCAATTTACATGATCATTGTGTAATCTATTGATAATAGCATATACTAGCATACTTACTGTACTTTATGAAAATGTTATGAGCATTCTCTACGTGCCAGCACATTTACACTTGTTCTTCACACTTGCAGACGTATAGTGTATAGTGATGCGTTGATCAATATATATGTACATGTACATGTAAATTTTATCTTTAATTAATCTTATATTTAATGACAGCTGCTTTTTTATCATGTGCTTTAAGTGTTTGTTTATTTTTATGCATTAATTTTTTTTTCTAAATTGATGTTATCTGCTAGAATGAATGTATGAATTCCGTTAGTTATCCAATTACTACTCTCCCATGTGCTGTGCATGTGCTATTCTTTATGCATGTGCTATTTCTTATGCATGTGTGATGCACATGCACAACTCTCAATGAATATCTAACTTATTATTGAGAAACAAAAGAGCACTTATATTCATGATTATTTTACTGAGATAAGTGAGATAGCTCATGCATGCAATACACATGTATGGACAAAACACGTGTATAGCCCATGTTTTAACACTTGAGCTATAGACTAACTTCTCACTGTTCTTTCTCTTTATATAGATATGTAATAAAGACTGAAGGCTCTATGGCATTATTTAAAGGGCTAACTCTCAGCTTGCTAGGCAGCATGCCGACACGTGCCATTTACTTCACTCTCTACTCAAACTTTAAACTGTTTTTCAAAAATTTCATGACACACAATAGCAACCAGATTCATTTCATATCGGCAATGTCTGCAGGTATAATGACCTCCACAATCACAAGTCCTATATGGGTAGTCAAGACACAGCTACAACTGGATAATAGGTCAGTCTATGTAGGATAGAATTGCATTAGTACAAGAGGGGATTTTATTGACAGATATTATAATACCATTTTAAGTGTGTGTCTCTATTATTCTAATCTTGATAATGATACTATGGTTATAATTGGGCTATACAGCATTCTAAACATTCTATTGTGCATTCATTTAAGATAAAAGAGTGTGTATAAGAGCTCAATGGTAGTACTAATATAACCTGTCAATGTCCAAAGATTGTAATTTGGCTTTGTCATAAATAGTATTTTTATTCAAGTAAGAGAATTTGTGTAGCAATATACATGTACACGTACATGTACTCTACGTGTGTTTGTGTGTGTGTGTTTCTTTAATTGTGTAACTACATGTACGTGCATAAGTACATCTACTTGTGATAGATTGTACATTCAGCACTCCTGTTCCTGTTTACTAACAGCTAAGTGTTGCTACCTTATATGGAAAGTAGGAAATACTAATTTTTTATTAAATTTGCATGCACAGTATTCATGTACATGTACTTTAATCTTCACAGAACCCCATTCATAATTGAGAGTATGAAGTTCATGTACTATATTGTACAACTGGGTCAAGTTTAATGATTCTTAATCGCATGCTAAAAGTAGAGCAAATGCTGTTAGCAAACATTGGCTGCTTGTATTTAGTCTGTTACAATTGATGTGCCTATTATAGTCACAATTGTGTCCATTATAACTTGATACTGTATCCAATCAAACAATGATGGACTTTTGTTTTATTGTTTCATTGTCTTTAATGAAAGGAGCACATGGCCAGCATGTGTTTTATTATTAATATACATGTGACTAGCATCCACACTGTTGGGTCTAGAGGGAGTTTAGGAGACTTGGTCTTCCATTTTTGGTCTTTGTCCCCCATTTTTAGCTTTTTTGTCTCTTGAATTTAGCCTCGGAGACCTTAAGTATTCATAATACAACTACCAGCTGCTGATAATAAGACCACAGTTGACATACGTGCAATATATCTAACTGGCTAGGCGATAAAGAATCAACCAAGCTCGACAAATAAACTAATAAGAGCTTAAGCGTAGAGCGCCAACTTTCTCTAAGTGTTCCAGGGAGGTTACTAATAGATTTAGAAACCTGGCATTCTGATTGGTCAATTTAAACTTGGCATGGCAGAATTCTAGATCTACTGTACATGTACATGCACATATAACACTAAACATGCTTTTATTATTTTTTATAGACCCAACCAGCTCCTTGGATTCAGACAGTGCATTCAAATGCTGTACAGTAAAGATGGAGTGAGGAGTTTCTACAGAGGACTCTCTGCCTCTTATGCTGGCTCCATTGAAACTGCCATCCATTTTATGATATACGAGAGGTTAAAGGAGTGGATCAACGTAGATAAGGATGTGCCTCCATTTCAGTGTATGCTGGTCGCTGCTTGCTCAAAGATAACTGCTTCTACACTCTGTTATCCTCATGGTACGTGATAATGCATACATGTGCTACTCTGGGTTTCCCATAAAGCATGCTAAGTTAGCCAAACAGAACACCTTTAAAAATTTGTAAAAAATCTAATTTTATCTGAATCAGCTCAAACTTTCTATGCAACATAAGAACATGTATATATATCAGGAAAAAATTAAAAATAGAGAGTTCTCTCTTAGTCAATTTTGGTGAAATTTGGCCAAAGGCCCTGTACTGTAGTACAGGGACTTTGCTCTGATTTTGGAGCAACTTTAAAAATTAATAAAAAATCCAATTTTGATTGGAATCAAGCTGCATGAGCACTATGCTTAACTCCTGTGGTAAACTCTGACACTAAGTATGAAAAGAATTTTACTCTCTCCTTTCTCTTTCTCACAGAGGTTTGTCGAACTAGAATGAGACAGAGCGTTGAGCCTTCGCTGAGGAAGTATAACTCTTTCTTTCAGACATTACTGACCATATGGAAGGAGGAAGGAGCCAGAGGACTCTATGGGGGCATGGCTGCCCATCAGTTGAGAGTTGTACCAAATTCGGCCATTATTTTCTTTGCATACGAAGCTATTGTTAGAACACTTGGCTACATGACTCTTTGATTCAGACAGTATGCACACACACACAGTTAATTTTTCAATCATGATGCATCTCTTATACTATTTGTCTATTGTGTTATTATTATTATGTTATTTATGAGTTGAAGATTTCAATACAAAAAACCAATAATAATTTTATTAGCTGTTGGTATACAGAGTTTTACGGATTTGAATAATTCGTTTACTTTTTGAGGCGTGGTCAATTCATTGAGGGAATTCCCCTAAACTTCGTCATTCAAGATGGCCACCAATTCGTTTGCCAGTTGCAGTGAAGAAGACGGGGTTCTGGTCCTACCAGGTCACTATTGGCGGGTTGGAAAGCGTTATAAAGACCTAGAGTACCTAGCACTAGGTGGTAATGGGCTGGTATGTAAAGCAATCGACACGTACACTGACAAAAGAGTCGTCATAAGCAAGAGAGATAGTCTCTTCTCCAAGACTTACTGTCAGCGTGATCTGAGGGAGCTTCAGGTTATATCGCGGCTACAAAAAGCACTGGGAGACGACCTACCTATACCAGAACTGATTGATATTGTGTGCGAGCCTGCTAACCAGCCAATTGGCGAGGGCACGAAATTTTACGTCGTCCAAGAAGCCAAAGAAGGCACCATTGAGATAATACTACAAGCGGATCAGTTACCAAGCCCGGAACAAGTCAAGATCCTCATGTATCAGTTACTCCGTGCTCTTAAACTCTTCCATTCAGCTGGTATCATTCATCGCTGCATACGTTCTAATGACATACTCATTGATGCCGATTGTGATCTTCGCGTGTGCGATTTTAGACTGGCAGCTGTGAATGGGATCGAGAGCGACCCAAACTTTGAGCTGCTACGTTTCACCGACTCGTATCGTGTCGAACACCTTCACTATTGGGCACCCGAGGTCCTCATAAATGAAGAGATCACGCCTGTTGTAGACATATGGTCTGCTGGTTGCATATTTGCTGAGTTGCTTACCGGCAAGAAGGTTTTTGGTAGCTCTGATGTCCGAGGCCAGCTTGACCTCATTGTAGACCTCCTGGGTGCTCCTTCCCCTGAGGATCTTGCTTTTGTTAAGGGAGACGCTAGCCGCACTGCTCTTACTTCCGTTCAAAACTCATCCCCAACTTTTGAGGAACGGTTTAAGAACATAGACCCAGTCGCACGAGACCTTCTTAAGAAGATGTTGGTGTTTAATCCTAGTCAGCGTATCACTGCAGAGAAAGCTCTAGAGCACGAATACCTAGCAGAGTATCACGATCCTTCAGAAGAACCTGTTTATAATGCCGAGAAACCTTTATGGAAGGAGTTACTGGTCTCGGATCAAAATCTCGAAGTTCTTCGCTCGCAGCTAATAAAAGAAGTTCATGAGATTAAGGCGTGGCTAATGGGCCCTGAGGTAGAGGCGCCAATAGTCAATGGTCATCCCTGGCATGTTGGCTCTCGTTACAGAAACCTTGAGTTTCTTACTAAAGGCAGTAATGGTTCAATGTGTTTTGCTACTGATACTCGGACTAGCAGTCGCGTTGTAATAAGCAAAAGGGATGGGTTGTATTCTCAGGAATATTCCAAACGTAATCTTCGTGAGATACAAATACTCACGCGCCTCCAACGGATGTACTCTGACGATTACGATCCCTTCCCTCGCATTATTGATTTCATTTGTTATCCACAGAATCTCTCCGGTCCCAAACAGGCAGAGCTTTATGTGGTACAGACAGCCTTTGATGTTAACCTAGCTGACATATTAAACCAACAGCGTATGACTCATGACCAGATCTGGTGCATAATGTACTCCCTCCTAGTTAGTCTCAAGCTGCTTCATTCTGCCGGGGTAGTTCATCGCTGCATCAGGCCTCGCCATTTATTATTAACCAGTGAGTTTGATCTTGCTATCTGTGATCTCCGTCGCTCAATAATGAATCACGAACCATGTGGTGAGGAATACAACTGGACTGGGTCTTCTACCGAAGGAAGTTGGCAGTATCTCTCTCCTCAGGCCGTCTGCTACGATGAGCAGACAACAGCTTGTGATATATGGTCTGCTGGGTGTGTTTTTGGAGAGATGCTACTTGGTCAGCCTCTGTTTGTCTCTGATGCTAATGCTGTTAACATTTTCCGTGTTATTTTCTCAACTCTCGGCCGACCAAAAGATCAAGAGCTAGCCTTTGTAACGTCAAGGATTGGCCTTCAAGTTTTGAAAGAGTTAAAGATAAATGAGTCTCCATCACTTGACAGCAACCTCAGGAAGAGGAATGTTGATGGTCAGGTTATCGATCTTCTTAAGAAGATGCTTGCCTTTAGTCCAGCCAAGAGAATCACTGCAGAAGAAGCTCTTAAGCATCCTTACTTTGCCAAGCTCCATGATCCAGCAGAGGAGCCTGTATATACCGGAAAGATGTCTTCTGAGGTTGTTACTGATGATTTACCGACTTCACAGCTTCGAGCAAAGATATTGGAGGAAGTTCATCTCTTTTCTTCACCACAATAGTTTAATCATTCCTACTACAGTGGACCCTATGGCTCTCGTGAGCCACGATATTATTTTTATATGCACACAAATGTTATCTTATCAACTGTTTCGATACTTTCGAACATTAATATTGTTGGGATTAGTTGAGTTTTTTTGTAGTAGGCACAATATTATGTAACTAATTTTCAAAGGATGTTTTGTTTAACTTGATTTATGTTAAAAATTTTAAAAATTAAAAAATACTTTGAGTTGAACTGAATTTAAAAACTTAACCCCTTTCCGCCATCTTTATTCAGTTGTTATGGTAACTGAATGATTGCCCGCCCTTTTTAATCGTCCCACGAGGAAGAGGAGTAGAGATTCCTCTTGTTATTCGCCCATTATAATGGCCGAAGGAGGTGTCCTAGTTAGCACTGACAGGTAAGTAAGGTTTCTATATGTGTCTATAACACCTTCTTATCGATAGGGAGCTCTTAGACTCCTTGTCAAAGAAGAGGAGAGCTTTTAAAGAATCTTTCAAGGTTTCTGTTATTTTTATTGTTCTGAATTGTTTCATTTTTGTCTCCTTTTAGCTGAAGCCAGCAAAAGATGGAGAGGACCTTGAGGCTACTGATTCTGGCTTAAGAACAACATCGAGTTTTGTGAGTCAAAAAACCAATTTCTGACTGTATATAACGTTATATGCATATAACCCTTCTCTCTCTCTCTCTCTTTTTCAGATTAGTGATGATCTATTAGATACAATGAGGGCAAGAAGAGTTAGGAGACGAATGAGAAAAGGAGAAGTATGCACATGTAGCAACTCTTACCCGTTATCATCGAACAATTCACATTATGCCCACACACACACACGTACATACATGTAGTTACCTCCATTAGATCTCTCTTTGGCTGGTCCTAAGAATCTTGAGCCAATTCTTCCATTACCTCTTCCTACTAACACTGAATCCATACTCACATCAACACTTAATGGTGACTCTATCATGTTATTATTATTTATTATTATACTCTGTATTTGTGTCTTTAAGATGAAGCAGCTGCTGGTGTTTCTAGTATTCGTAGATTAAGAGAGAGGCAAGATCATAGGACACGATTTGATGATATTGCTACTGGTATTATTGACTCATCCAATCAAGTAATATTTAAAGAAAAGTTATAGAGATTATTTTAAACACTTTCTTTTTAGATTCGTCCGATTTCTCCCACTTCTCCTCGTTCCCCTCCACCTCCTCCTCCTGTGTCCACAGCAAAAACTAATCTCATTGGTTCCAAGTTATCAAGTGAGAGATGGAAACTGTTATCATCAAGAATGACCGAAACCAAAGACAAGGTTCACTATACATGCAACGAAATTTGGCCTGAGACTGTGTACTATAGTACAGGGACTTGGGTCTGATATTTGAGCAACTTTGAAAATTTGTAAAAAAAATCCAATTTTGATTGGAACCAGTTCAAAGTTTCTACACAAGTATCAGAAAAGATGGAGAGTTCTCTCCTTTTCAATTTTGTTGAAATTTCCTTAGACCATATACTACATTGTATAATAGTACAGGGACTTTATGGTATTTTGCAACTTGTCTCTTTCTACTTGTAGGTAGAAGAAGAGAATTCAATGGAGTTTTTCCTGGGAAGTAGCCCAAAGCATGTTAGCAGGTTACAAGACGAAGAGAGAAGCCATCAACTTGAGGAGACTGATCATGACAGGGCAGCAGGTGACGACGGGTTTGAAGGAAGAGGCTTAGAAGAAGATCCTTTACAGCCAGAGGGAGAAGGTGCCATACAGAGAAGAGATGAGGAAAGGGATCTTGCCAGAAATGAGGAGAGAGGAGATAGAACAATGCTCATCACTCAGGTATTATAGAATAGAATTGGGCCATCAATGCTATTTTGGCTTGTTTTTTTCTTTTGCTACAGGAGGGTCTTTCTGCTATGGAAGCTAATGTTAAAAGAGTGCTTGAGTATGGTTTCCCGAGATATACACCTCAGCAGGAGAGGATTAACAATGAGAAAACCCTCTATTTTGTTCCCAGTCGAGTTCTTGGTACATTGATTGACTTGCTATTTTATAGTTTAGTCTAGTGTGGTGCCGAAATAGCTCAGTTGGGAGAGCGTTAGACTGAAGATCTAAAGGTCCCTGGTTCGATCCCGGGTTTCGGCAGATTTTTTTTCTTTTTTTGTCACGATTTTTTATTTATTATTATTATTTTTTTATTACAGCACCACTAGAAACAAAAACTCCTGATGAAAATCCACCCGTCTTTGATGAGGACATTGGCCTGTACGTTGGACAGCGGCCAAAAGTGAGCATTGGTAACTTGGCAACAATGGAAAACAGATTATTACGTCGTCCAGACATGGTAAAGAAGAGATGAAAGTATTCTTTAAAATCTGCCATGCATAGGGTAAGGGCTGGTTTGGAAAGGATGGGCTACTTTTAACGACACCGGAACCGACACACAAACTTATTACCAGACCCCTCATCATAGGAGAGGATCCCAACCGTCACTTAATCTACAGAGAAGTAATAACTATGAATATAATAATAATAATCATTGTTATAATGAATATCCTATAGCCAAGAATGGCAAGGAATAGCACTACTATTATCAATAAAACTGATGGTAAACAAGTAACTATTTATTTAATTTAGTGTACCTACTTGTTTCAGGTGTCAATGACTGCCAGTTGGAGATATACTTAGGCTCAATACATTTCTCTCATCATCCTTTGTTTAGTAGAGAACATGTATTGAGCCAATCTTTATCAAAACAGTGTGAGGTGTATCATAAAATAGACAGGGGAAGGCTTATTGATCAGTATCGAGAACAAGTAGGACTATGCAGTATTTTAATTATTTAACTTTAATCTCCTTCTTTCTCTATATTTGTTTCTTTCCATTAGTTAAAAGCTTTGCAATATTCCATTCAAGACTTAAAACAATCACAGACCGATCCAATGCAAGCATCAGAGCAGCTGGAAAGATACCGCCTTGAAGTAATGATGAACTATACATTTAATACATATTACGATAATACATTTTATTATATAACAATAATACAATAATACATTTAAGCACATAACTGTTTACATTTGTATTATTTTTATTTTTAGGTAAGAGCTAAGAGACAACAGTTGAAACAGACTGGTGCTACTGAGTACCAGCTAATGCAAAACGTATTGAAGACATGGCGGGAACTAAAGCAGCTAAGAGAAGATCAAGGATACTCTTGTACTACCTCTCAACTAGTGATACACAGGTAGGACAATATGTACAAACTATACTACATGTATATAATGTGATGAAAAACATGTGCATGTACATGTACATATACATGTATATGTATAGGTTATACACCGAGGTCGAGGTTTCTATGGGATTTATTTACCGAGGGACGCAGTCCCGAGGTAAATAAACCCATAGCAACCGAGACCGAGGTGTATAACAGACTTCTACCATGCCAAATTGTAGCTAAGAAACTGCCCATGATTAGCAAGGCTTTATAAAAGCACAAGGCCTCTTTACTTCTTTGTATCTTCTTAAAAGAAACTGGAAAATCTCTTCTCCACTCGCGCCATGTGTGTACAGTAAAACACGCCCAGAACACGCCTTTCCAATTCCACTCCACCCATTAAGAAGTTTATCACATGGCCCAATGCTTTTGACCATAGTATCTATGTTTTGACGCTCTATCTCTTTCTTTTCGATGTTCTTTGCTGCTTTCTCTGCTAAAAATGATTGCTCCAGACGCCATAGCTATGCTTCGAGGTAAATAATTAGAAACCTGTTTGCTCCCGGGCTGTCCGCGAGGTAAATAACTAAGAAAACCTGTTTGGCGACTTTAATAAGTTGGCTATATTTACCTCGGCGAGGTAAATAAGCGATATATTTACCTCGTAGGACGCAATCTGATTGGTCAATTGCAAGTAGGCATGGTAGAAATACATGTAGATTATGTATTATTATACATATACATGTAGGTTTGGATCAGATGCAATGATTGAGCAAGCTCTTAGAGACAGAGACATTGAAGCTGAGCTAATGGAAAGAAGGTTGAATTAATTAAAGCATATCAGATTAAGTTGCTTTACTTTTTCATTTATTTTCTTTTAGAGAGGATCACGAAGCAACTATGGCAGTTGAGATTTTACAATATCAACAAGAGCTGGCGGAATGGAAAGCTTACAATAAAGAAAGAGTGAGCCCACCCGCTTTTATTAGGAGCCACACCCATCAATTAATATTTATTGTAGAAGAGAACAGTCCGGGAACTATCGAGAAAGGACTCTGTAGCTAGCCACGCCTCCTCAGCAGTGGAGAGTAGTACTAATGTAGCAGACATTGAAGCAATGGCTACAGGTAACTCAACATCTTTTATTCCTCCTAAAAGTGAGCTTGAACTGCAAAATTACACCTTTATAAGCAAGTCCTACACTTTATAGAGCCACGCCCTACAGCTCCGCCTTCATTTGATGAGGCGAGAGCTCGTTTGGAATTATTAGAATATTACAGACTGAATCATCGTAAACCAGGAGATCCTAAACTAGTACCACAACTGACACAGAATCACCCCATCACTCAAAATGTACCAAGGTATAATGTACATGTATATTACATGTATGTAATGAAGTGTGTTATTATTTTTTAATTCTTGCTTGATGTGTGTATGATTATATAATTTTACTGATTGTTTATTTCAAGGGACGAACAAACTCGTAGGAACTTGATTGAGGGCACTAGATATAAAATAAAAGTGCTATATAATAACAAAGAATTTCACAACACCAAAGACAAGTAAATGCATGATAAACCCATGTACAATGTATTGTATACATGTATTATTGTTCTATTTGTCATTTTATACTTATTAGGTATCTAGCTAGTGATTTCAGTGTTGCATTTGATGAACTTCTAACTGTAAAGATCATTGAAGTCCCGCATTGCATTGAACTACAGGTGAGAGATAGAACAGCTAGAGAAGATTGTAATAACGATTTATATAAAAAATACTTGTAATTAATTTGATGCTTTTTTTCTGACTTACTTTGCCTTTTAGTTTTCTCCAAAAATATCTCCTTTTTTTCTCTTTTAATGCTGTACCATTTTTCTTTTTTTTTTTTTCCTTGTAGATCATAAATACATCTTTTCGTATACCATCATTAATCACTCGTATATATGTACCAATACCTGATAACACTATGATACTATCAACGTCAATCAAGGAATCATATCAGTTCAGTTCTAATCAAGCCGTCACTTTTGATCACTCGACTGCAGTTGGGAGTGGTCAGTTATAATTAATTATTATCTATTTGATTTTAATAAAAATAATAATTATTATTATTTTTAAATTGTTAAAAAAAATTTTTTCTTTAGGTCATACCCACCCACTCCTTCCTGAACATGGTGAGCTCATTACGAGTGGTCACATGACATTGACAGCATGCTGGGCCGAGAGAGAGGATGGTCAGCCACTTTGTCCACCTGCTATAAAGAAGAAGTATGCGTTATATGTACATAAAGTACCTGTACCTATATATGCCTTTTTGAGCAATTTTTAAAATTCATAAAAAATCTAATTTTTATCGGAATCAGTTCAAACTTGCTACACAACATAAGAACATGTATATATATCAGATAGAATTATAAAAATGGCAAATTCTCTTTTAGTCATTTTTGGCAAAATTTGGCCCGTGACCCTGTACTATAGTACAGGGACTTTGGCCCAATTTTTGAGCAACTTTAAAAATTCATAAAAAAATCTAGTTTTGATCGGAATCAGTTCAAACTTTCTACACAACATAAGAACATGTATATATATCAGATAGAATTATTAAAATGGCAAATTCTCTCCTAGTCATTTTTGGCAAAATTTGGCCCGTGACGCTGTACTATAGTACAGGGACTTTGGCCCAATTTTTGAGTAACTTTAAAAATTCATAAAAAATCTAGTTTTGATCGGAATCAGTTCAAACTTTCTACACAACATAAGAACATGTATATGTATCAGATAGAATTATAAAAATGGCAAATTCTCTCCTAGTCATTTTTGGCAAAATTTGGCCCGTGACGCTGTACTACAGTACAGGGACTTTGGCCCGATTTTTGAGCAAATTAAAAAATCTAATTTTTGTTGGAATTGTTTCAAAATTTTAAGAACATGTACATGCATATGCATCAAGCGTGTAACATGTATTATGTATTTGTACATGTACTGTAGGTCGTCTCAGCTGGAGAAGATAGCAAGAGTTGGCGTTACAGGAGTCAGCAATGTGCATAAACTTAAGAAATGGATAGGTAAGGACACAGCACATTGATATAATATAGCCATTAACAAGAGTGTTGTTATATTAGAGGAAGCTAACCTTGACCCTAATGATCCTCGTAACTGGGAACTACTAGAGCTTATTGAAGTATGAGAGAGAGAGAGAAGACAGACATTACCCTCTATCTCTCTCTATTCTCTTTGCAGTCCATTCCAAGCACTCAAGAAGAGACCAAGTACTTTAGATTGGACAAGATTGATGATGATGCTCGCTTTGTTGACGAAGAAGAATATCAAAATAATCGTCGCTTTACTTTATTAAAGCTAAGAGACCAAGGAGTGAGATAAAAAATATATACTGATACATGCTTTACATGTACACGTATTGTGCCATTTTTAAATTGTAGCATCCTGCATTGAAAGGACAGTGCATACCAATGAATGAAGAGGGAATCAGCGATTCATTGTGGAAGGTACGTAATACAATTGCACATTTAATTCCTAATTTTTTTATCCTGCCATTCTCAGTCGGTCAATGACTACAAGCCATATAGTCTGGCTGAGCTCCCTGTCTCCATATTTGGTAATTTCTATGACAATAGGAGAGAGCAAAGACTTAGGTACCTCAATGACGTCCGAGAGAAGGTCTTAAAGAGGGCGGGGTCACATCTGACCAACGAGCTTACGCTTGAAGACGTTATTCACGAAGAAGTCATACCAAATATCACGTACGCCGGCTCTAATTGTAAGCATTTTGATATAATTTCTTTAGTACTCTTGGCAAGACTTTGCTGGGTTTCTTTGCTCCTCGTCGTCCTCTGAAACCAGTGAGGACCCTCCGTAGGAAACCCAAGCCACAGAATGTACATGTTGAGTCATGCCACATTAGAGTGAGGGTTGTGAGGGCAGTCAATGTATCCGTACGAGAAGAAGAACTAAGATACAATGAGGTACGAGAAAATAATGATAATAATAATTTTTTACGATGATAATAATGATAATAGTTTGTCTACTTTCATAATAATGATAATGATGATAATAATAAATCAATAACAATACTAATAATAATAATTATTATTACTTTTTAAAATTGTCTCATTTATGAATTAGACTCTTGTTCAAAGTTTTGTCGAGGTGAGATTTGGTAAAGAGTCCAGCAAGACAGCCTCGGCCCATGGACCATACCCACATTGGAACGAAGAGCTGACGTTACCATTTTGGTACATACTACCACATCATGTGACTATCACATGATTTATTGTAATTATATTTATAGTCCGCCTGATGATGATTTCAGTCCATTAGCGTTACAGAAAATATCACACGAATTGGAGATACACTTGTATGATGAGATCACAGTGAATATATCGATGGTGAGTGATGTCATTTGATGTCACATGATGTCATTTGATGATGTCACTTGTCACTTGATGTCATGTGATGTAGGATGAAGTTCAAAGACATCAAAGATTAGAAAAGAAATGGTTGGGATCTCTTACAATCCCTTTCTCTACTCTACACGATCGAGCAAGAGTAGGTCTCCTCTTTCTATCTCCAGCATTTTATCTTCTTTATAGATTGAAGGGACTTTTCAGTTAGACACGCCCCTTGTGTTGCTAGGATACACAGCCCCACCCACTAACTCCACCTTATCCAACGAATCCTCAAATACATACGTCCAGTTATTCATTTCACTTGAGCCAGCACTGAGTATGCTACCACCAATCAGCGACAAGGTAAGGGGACGACCCTGTAATTATCTCACCTAATTACATTGCTATTAGTTTGATAGTGTTGAGGATTCTTTATTGTTGGAGAAAGGAAAGGCCTGGCTTAAGAACTTAAGAGACAAGTTTCCGAGTAGAAATTACACGGTAAATTTTAAATATTAAATTTTAAAAACCCTGTCTTCTTTCTCCAGGCCACTGTGCTGGATTGTAATGGCAAGAATGTGTTTGTAACTCGTTTTATTCGTCCTCAGAATCCACCAGCTTCATTACTACCTCAAGACTACCAGACCCTCACTGGAGGGAGCCTACTACAATGCATGGTAATAATACACATACAGCTACAACCCACAGTGTACATGTACATGTACATAGGTATATGTACATGTACATAATACATGTACATATACATTATGTACATATGTACATGTACATGTACGAAATTTCACTTTAGTTTATTTACATGTACATGTATGTTAGTTAATTTAGTTATAATAGATTTCATTGTTTCTTTACAGGAGAGGTTGGCTTGGTTTGTCTCTCTCATTCCATTTCTTCCTGATGCTCTTGTCTTCTCCGGTACATGTGACGTCTGGTTCACATCTGATGTACGTCAGCCATTTTAAAATACACAATACCAGCTGCTGTTATTAACTGTATTACAACTATTGCCTCTCTTCTCTTTTTCTACAGATATTTCTTCACATGCTTGGAGGGGATGAAGAGGAACATGCCGTGTTGCTATGCAACTATTTCCTCTTTTTAGGCCAAAGAGCATGGCTAGTATTAGGGACTGCAATACCAGAAGGTAAAATGAACATACCGTAGGGCGCCTTTTTTCGAGGGCTATAAATTTCGTGGATTTTTATTTCGCGGATTTAATTTTCGCGAATTTATGCCGTCTGCCATCTTGTACCACGTTAATTTGATTTTCGCGAAAGTAATTTTCGCGAATCTTTAAAAAATCGCGAAATCCGCGAAATGTATAGCCTTCGAAAAAAAGGCGCCCTACGGTAACTATAATAATAAATTTAATACTCTCCTCTCTCTCTCTCTAGGTCCTACTGCTTATGTGTTAACACTCCATCCAGTCTCCAATAGATCCTATATATTATGGAATCCTTCCAATGGAAAGCACTTCCCTTACAACCTATCACACATACCATTGCACAGTATTGGCTGCCTCATCAACAGTGACAATGTTAGTCATAATGGAGCTTATTTTTTCATTATTTTTATTTGAATGCGTGTATACTATATCCCAACTGAGTTTGACACCAGCCGCTTGGAATTTGAAAAATGTAGCCATACGTCACTAATGACGTCTTATAATGATATTCATAGAAGCATGGCCAATATTTTACAGGTGCATAGTTGGCCTGTATTTCACTTTTAAATGGGCTTTGTTTGTTCTGATAAGCAGTACAGTAGCTTCTGGAGTCAACTAGTCTTCATATTGGCCATTATTATCAAAAGATCTTGCTCTGTTAGCTTTTTAAAAGAAGAATTATCAGTTTGGGCGCTCGACCACATGTTCTTATGTAAACTATGACGTAGATAAATTATCATAAAATGTCATTTTGGTATGCCATTGGGTTTATAGGGAGAACCCGGTTCTCAGGGTTCCCAAGGGTTGAGAGACCCAAGACCTGAGATCCTGTGATGGCATTGGGCGACTAAGAACCTGTGAAAGTTTCATCCTAATCCCACATTCCTATAAAAAGTTATTCCAGTTTTTCTTGGGTCAAACTCAGTTGGGATATAGTATATACATATATGTACATGTACATGTATGTGTGTAGGTTTGGGGTAACATACAAGAGTGGGATCATCCCAGTCGAGTGACCTTTGACCTTCAAAACAGTAAGAAGTGGTCACCATTGTTTCCTTCTACAATGAACCCATTGGACTCTATACAGGTATGGATAATGCCACTGTACTATTGTGTATTGTGTATGTATATGTACATGTATATTCATGTTTATAGGTTGATACATTAGAATATTCAGAAACAGACCCTGAACAAGTACAGCAATTAAGAACAAGGTATTGCATTCTTATAATTCAGCTGCTGTTTAGTCAGTTTCCCTCATATTGATTCTCTCTTAATCTCCTGTATAGGATTGATAGATTAGTTCATGATCACATTGAGCAGTTAAGAGAACATGATCTAACTAGATGGAACAGATTGTGCTGTAGAGTACTCCACAGATTATCATCAAGGTAATCCATATGCTATAGTCATGATTGAGATAAATAATATAAACAAAGTTGTAAGGGGAGTAAGTTTTACCTTACTCCGATTAGTGCAGTGCACATGTACATGTATTTAATCTTGATTTAATGTATATGTGACCATAATTGACAAAAGGACCCTTATGGCGGATTTTTAAAATGATCGTTATAATGGAAAATATCAACCTGTGAGTGCTTTGTTAGACAATCATTGTTTCTAAAAGTTTCATGGTAACTTTTTGCATCCTGTGGAGTAATTTTATGATGAATGGTGCTCAGGAAGTTGGATTTCTTAGGCTAGAAAGACAAATTTCACTACCCGCCATAAGGTACCTTTTGTCAATTATGGTCACATATGTGAATTTCAAATAATGGTTAACGTAGCTAAATTGACTGAATTTTTAGGCTAGAAGAAAAGCCATTTTCTTCTAATGAGACATCACAATTGCACAAGAGAGAATTAAAAGAGAGCTTACCAGGATATAAAGTATGACCAGAGCAGTTACTTTCCCTTATTATTCACTTTTAACATATGTACATGTAGATTACTGGTTATCCTCTTCACATAAAGTACAGTGATACTGCTCAGCTACTGAGGGCAGTTGAGAGCACTGGATTGCACTTGTGTCATCATAGAAGGATAGAGTTTGCTATGTATGTCACTGTTCATTCTTATCCTAATGATATACTCTCTGTTTGGATTTATCTTGCGACTGTTACACCTCCTGATACTAACTGAATCTATTCAATTAAATGTCTACAGTATACAAACACAATAACTAAATTTTAGTTCATGATCATAAAATATTTTTGTTTCAATAATGGATGAGCTAGACTTACTACTGCATGAATTGCATTCATGATTATTGTGGAAGTTGCTTTATTTCAGCCAAAATGATTAGATAAGATTAAGAAATAGTGGGTGGATTTCATCTGGTAACCTTCCTTTCTCTTGTGTTGCTGCAAGTTTTCTAAGTCTATAATGGCAGCTAGACCAACAGTAAGTCACTGTTAAATTGTATGTTACTTTATCAGTTTAGAAATCATATAAAATAGTTGTGGTTGGTGAAAAGGGAGTGGGAAGGAGAAGTATCATATCAAAATACACCAATGATGATAGACCATTTGATCGTTAGTTTTTATCATCAATATTTTTTTCTTTATTATTGGTATATCTGGTTGTATAGGTTCTAAATTTAAGATAAAGACCATAGAGCTTGATTCTGAAACCATTGAGATAAAGATATCATTCAAAGATATCCATGATGAGGATTGGCAATATCTATTTGGATGGGTATTTTATACATGATATTTTATGCTTCACTGACACATGTATGATGCAGGGCATAATGTTGGTATATGATGTTACTAATAAGAACTCATTTGATTTTATTGAGGATTTAGATTGGCTGCACAGAGTAAGACTGTATTGCAAATTGTGTTACCTTTCCTTTGCTACGGTTAGTTTGCTAGAAGAAGATTACTGGTAGGTAATAAGGTAGACCTGGAAAGCCAGAGAGTAGTTCCAAAGGAAAAAGGAGAGCAATTAGCTAAGGAAAGGAGCATATCCTTTCTAGAGACGTCAGCTGTCACTGACACTAATATTGATAAGGCATTTGAAACCATTATCAGGGTAATTGATACATATTTGTTTTGCATTATCTGTATCATGAAATTCTTTTTTACAACAATGGTGTATACTAATGTACTTCTTTAGGATCTCAAGAAGTATTATAGTTTGGTAAGTTTTTTCCCAAATGATATTGCTATACAGCCATGCATCTTATAGGAAGAGCATGTAAGCTTGATTGACTACAAATAATAGCATTTCTTATTTGTCTCTCCTTACAAATGTTCCCTGTGTGAATTATGTTTCTTCATTTTATTGGTTCAGTTTGTAAGTTCAATTTACACTATTCATTAATGATTGAATGTTATTTGTCTCTCCTTACAAATGTTACCTGTGTCATTTATATTTCTTCTTTCTATTGGTTCAGTCTGTAAGTTTAATTTACACTATTCATTAATGATTGAATGTTATTTGTCTCTCGATCCTTACAAATGCTACCTGTGTGAATGATATTCTTTCTATTGGTTCAGTTTGTAAGTTTAATTTACACTATTCATTAATGATTGAATGTTATTTGTTTCTCCTTACAAATGTTACCTGTGTGAGTGATATTCTTTGTTTCTATTGGTTCAGATTGTAAGTTTAATTTACACTATTCATTAATGATTGAATGTTATTTGTCTCTCCTTACAAATGCTACCTGTGTGAATGATATTCTTCTTTCTATTGATTCAGTCTGTAAGTTTAATTTACACTATTCATTAATGATTGAATGTTATTTGTCTCTCCTTACAAATGCTACCTGTGTGAATGATATTCTTCTTTCTATTGGTTCAGTCTGTAAGTTCAATTTACACTATTCATTAATGATAGAATGTTATTTGTCTCTCCTTACAAATGCTACCTGTGTGAATGATATTCTTCTTTCTATTGGTTCAGTATGTAAGTTTAATTTACACTATTCATTAATGATTGAATGTTATTTGTCTCTCCTTACAAATGCTACCTGTGTGAATGATATTCTTCTTTCTATTGGTTCAGTCTGTAAGTTTAATTTACACTATTTATTAATGATTGAATGTTATTTGTCTCTCCTTACAAATGTTACCTGTGTGAATGATATTCTTTGTTTCTGTTGGTTCAGGATGTAAGTTTAATTTACACTATTCATTAATGATTGAATGTTACTTGTCTCTCCTTACAAATGTTACCTGTGTGAATGATATTCTTTCTTTCTATTGGTTCAGTCTGTAAGTTTAATTTACACTATTCATTAATGATTGAATGTTATTTGTCTCTCCTTACAAATGCTACCTGTGTGAATGATATTTTTCTTTCTATTGGTTCAGTATGTAAGTTTAATTTACACTATTCATTAATGATTGAATGTTATTTGTCTCTCCTTACAAATTTTACCTGTGTGAATGATATTCTTCTTTCTGTTGGTTCAGGATGTAAGTTTAATTTACACTATTCATTAATCATTAAATATTTTCTCCTTACAAATGTCACCTGTGTGAATTTTTCTATTCATTCAGGGAGTAAGTTAAATTGCACTAATCATTAATCACTGAAAGTTATTTGTATATATTTTAGTCATCTTTTTTGCTTCGCGATGAACTTGAAACTCACATTGATACTTTTGGCAGTGATAAAATTGAAGGTACATGCAACTCGGTTTTAAGTTAATTTATGTATTTGTGTGCATATAATTTGCATTTGTAGAAATAGCTCCTAAAAATATTGTCCTCGGTGAAAAGAATGTCACTTTTACCAGTGACGCAAACAATACTGTTGATTTACAACAATGTGGTCTAAGTTTGTTTTTTCCTCAGGAACTAATCACGACTCCAACAGCAGCTGTTAGCTATGATGTGACAGTTAAAGGATTATGGGCTGAGCAGTTTGTGTTTCCAGAAGGAACCCAGCTCATAAGTTCTGTCACTTCAATTGCTCTCAATTCTCCTTTGCCATTAGATAAGCCAGTCACTGTTCAGTTAATGCATTGTGCTAGCATTACTGATCAATCTCAGAGCAAGTATCTCAGTTTTGCTGTATCACATTCTGTTCAACCTCCATTTAAGTTTGATCTCTTACCAGGAGGGGATTTCCTTGCTGGTTTCAATTATGGTACCATACAATTAAATGAGTTCTCATTGATTGCTATCGTATTGGTGGTGTCAGCAACTGCAGCATTTGCAACTGCTATTGGATGTAAGTTTAATTAATTCTTAGTTAGACCTTTTTGAATTAATTAGATCGATTTTGGCAAGTTCCTTTACTGAGATGTCAAGGATTGATTTATTACAAAAGAGAGTTTGAGAATATGAAAATGAATTTTGCAGTTTTAAATGATCTTCCTCACAATGATGCAATCATCAAGTTTAAAGTAAATCTCTGCATGCATCTCAATGTAGTTTTCAACAATCAATACTTTAGAAGGAGTCTTATAAGAAGTTTGGAGAAGAGGAATGGAATTTTCCTTTTCAGATGAGAACTGATAGCCAACTAGAGCTTCACTTTCCTGAAGATAAGCCAGTTGGATGGACAGTACGACCACTTAGAATACCTCCTACAGTAATGAAATAATTATAGGTTTTAAAAAGCATAATGTAATATGATTTGATTATAGATACATGAGAGAGATGTATGTGCCTATACTGAGTCCAAGACCTCAAGTGACCTTCCTCCATATATTTCTGTAATACTGCGAGCAACAGCAACAGCTGCTGAATGGCTTGACTATGAAATCACTGTCAGTGGAATCAATATAGACAAGAAAGACAGTATTGCTATTGTAGTACATAAATCAAGGAATGTATGCAGTAAGTTTGTAATATTATGAATACATTATAAATTAAGGGTTCTACTTTTTGCTTCACCTTTAGTACCTTCATTGGAAGTAGGCCCAGCTGTTATTGAAAAATCAAATAAAGGTATGTATATTGTGTGCATTAACAATAACAAATTAACAATCTATTACAGCTTCTGAGGTATTTCGCAAGAAAATCCCCACACTTAGCTCAATCATTGGCTCTGGCACTAGCACTATCTTTGATAGAATCAGTGATGAGTTTCTTGGTGCAGGACTCATCAGCCAATCAATACTAGATGACATCACTACAGTACCTAGTTACTCCAATTATCAAAGAGGCAGTAGATTAATTCGTGAGCTGCATAAAAGGCTGCAAACAATAGATGCACCTAATGATAACCTCATTGTGGTGTGTGACATACTCACCAAACAAGAAGATGAGCAATTAGTTCAGATTGGTAAAGATATGATGAAAAATGCACCTCATGCTGTTTGAAGCCAATTCTTATAACATTAATAAGTTAACAATTAAGACATGTTTGTTTAATTACAGTTGCTAAAGACACATAGTAAACTATGTTGCTATTACATGTACAAGAGATTTAAAATTTCCAAATAGATTCAGCGAATATTGCCAGCAAAATTACAATCACTGTCAATAATATCAAGTACTTTGACCACCAATTACCTAAAAATGCACATAGGATTACAGCAACTAAAGTAGACTACTGCAGTTTTTTTACCTTTCTGCTTTACTTCATTAATATCAGTTGCAGCTTCTATCAACAGAGACACTCAAAAACAATAAATCTTTATCTTTTTCTCTTCCTTTGTCATGTGACATAAAGCACAGATCAGTAACGGATGATGAATGTATGCTGGGTATTATTAAAAATGCCTTTAGAATTAAAATTTAATTTTTAGTTTTCACTTTCAAATTGTAGTGCATTATAATAGATTGAGAGTCCTCAACGTGCATCTTCAATTTTAATGTACTTGTCAGGGATTAATAGTATGTGGCCGACATTAAGGCAACTATGAAAATTTGTAAAAAAAACAATTATGATTGGAATCAGACTACTTTCCTCATAACACATATATCGAGGTATTATATACTCTTGCATATATGTATCTTTAAAAAAATTATAAAAATAATAATTCTCTTTTTTTTCAGTTTTAGCAAAACTTGGCCCAAAGCCCTGTACTTAGTACAGGGTCTTTGGCCCAATTTTTGAGTAACTTTAAAATTTTCTAAAAAATCCAAATTTTAAACTGCATCACTAAATAGATATGCTAATAATATAGATTTACTCTCTGTTTGGATTTCTCTCATACTGTTATAGATCTACTAACTGAATATATTCATTATCTATCACTGGATGAATATCTCTGTGTTTCCTTATTTAAAAAAATGATGCAAAAATTACTACATATTGTTAATTAAAAAAAAAACATTATACAAGACTACTAACAGTACTACTAATCTAATTTAGAAAATTTTATGAATAGCTATAAAAAATATAATAGACTAAAACTTGTATACTTTTACAATTCTATTGTATTGTCATCATCATCAGACTCTTCTTTTTCAGCTCTTTCCTTTTCTACGACTGCAGCTTCAAATTCTTTGGCAAGCTCGTCTAAAGCAAATATTTGTATCCTTTTGTTTCCAGAATCCACAACTACCAGTTCCTTTTCAAGACGAACGGCGATTCCAGTTGGCTGGTTAAACATTCCTGGCTCATCACCAAATTGACCAAATCTTAAAATATGTTGCCCTTCCTTTGAAAAGACAGAAATGCAATGTTGCTTTTTTTCAGACACTGCAATGTTGTCATTTGGTAAAATTACAACTCGAAATGGGTCAAAAAGGACACCCTTTTTCCTGGCATCAACATCAATATCCCAAAGAGGAGAACCAGTGGTACTTATTTTATTGAGATTTTTGTCTTGTGAAGTTGCAACTACTAGATAGCTGTCCTTGTAAGCAATGCAACAGGGTTTCCCTGTAACATCTAGTTTATTCACAAACTGACCATTTTGTTTGAAGCAGGAGATGAAAGTTTCTCCATGTTTCTTTGTTACTGCATAGATAAGAGTTTCCTCTCCTCTTATTGCTTTAGTACTGGTGATAGACATGCAATAATTATCTTTCAAGAACTGCCTTGGATTTTTTGCTTTATTTGGTTTGGTCTCATCGAATTCCAGCTGGTGTAAACCCTTTTCACTTGCAACTATAATTCTTGAGTTCTTTTGGTCATAGGCAACGGCTTCCAACTGACATCTCATCTCTTTTGCCAATTTGTGTGGTTTTTCATCAGCTGTCATAAGTATTCTTACACAAAAGTTTATTTGATCAGTAAATATCATGCTCCCAAGGGGGCCTGTACAGACATCATTTAAAATCACTGATTCTGATGGATTAGTTGCTGCGAGACCATTCAAAATTATGCTGGCAGGCTTGAGAAGTATCATTTTTGGATCAAAAATTTGATAAGCATGTTCTTCTGGCAATAAATCATAATCTTCTTGCACGCTTTTGTTTGTTCCTACCATTACTGGACGTGGCGGTAGCGGTGGAGGAGATAGTGAGTGAGGAATAATAATATTATCCATGGATGTATATTCGCTATCAGTGGGTGGGTCAGGTGGCATATCATATTCATTGACTTGCTCTCTAGATTTTGAAATTTCTTCAGGATAAGACAACAACGGTGGTGGTGGTTGCAATGGTGGTGCCGGTAGTCGTGGTCGTGCTATCGATGATAAAGATGGTGGTGACAGCTGCAGTCCTGAAATATTTATGTATTTTACCTTATCATCACAAGAATTATCTATTTGCCTTGATGGAGGGTTTGTAACTATTTCACTATAATATAAATCCTCATACTCTTCACTCAAGCCCCAATTAGCTTGCCCTGTTGCTAGCATGCTTTTATCATCATTAATATCTGATGGAGGAGGAGGATTGTATCGGCGAACAGGAGTTGTAACTGAAATTGATTTCCCCCTACTTCCTTTGCGGCTGCCATTACCAACAGGTCTAGCATAATCATACTCCAGCTGCTCAAAACGCTTCAATTGACTATCGTGTGAGCTACGTCGAGAATACGATGTAGCTCCACTTATTGACAAAACCAAAGTTGGTGTAAGCCCTTTAACTATTCCATGAAGGTTTCTTCTTGCATTTGTTCGAATCCAAACTTTTGGTCTTTCTATGTGCACTGTTTTGCTACCTTTTTGGTGAGCGTCTTCAAGCCTTTGCAATTGTATTTCATTTTTTCTATCCAGGATATTGCTATGTCTTACCTCCCAATCATGCATAGCCTTATGAACCTCTTGAAATGATTGATTTATTTTCTCTTCAGTTTTCTGAAGACCTGTACAAAACTTGTTTTTTCTCTCTTGAAAGAGCTTCTGCAAATTACATATTTGAGCTTTAATATGCTCAATTCGTTGGGATAACTTCTCTGCATCCATTTTGCGATTCTGTAAGTGGTCGACGTATTTTGATATCTTGTGTTTAGTTGAATGGCCAGCCTTGAGGCATTGTATGCACAGCAGCTCGTTGCAGGTTTCACAATATTCTTGAATGACTTCGTAATGGCGAGAGCATGCTGGCACTTGACACGGCTGTGTATCAGAGCTCATCCTTAGTAATCCTTACTCCTTATTGTCCACAGAGCAGAGAATAGCTCAGAGTTGTGGTGGACTGGTGTTGGCATGGTGGGAGGAGCACTATGGATATTCATATTGCCATGATAATTATCTCCTGCTGAGGTAACTGGGCTACTCCTGCTAATAATAATAATTATAGCTAAAAAGTGCTTTATCATTAAGCCTAAAAATTTAGAACAATATGCAGTGTGGAGATATGAGTGTTAAAAATTGCAGAGCATAAACCATTCAAAGGTATAAATTTGGGTCATTTTGCATACCCAGTCCCTCCACAAAACTACTGAGAATTTTGGGATGGTTGTGGTTCAACTGTGATAGGTCTTACAACTTGATATGCTTCTTCTTCATCGACTTCAACTCTATCTGTGTCAACTAAAGTTTGAACTGTCATTAGCTTCATAATAGCTTGCAAAGAGTGGATCACATCTGCTGTGACTGCGACTGAATCTCCAGTTTGATCTGAAACAATGTTTTTATATTTTTCAAACTGTTTCAAAGCTTCTGCAAGCAATTTTTCAATACAAATGTATTCATCATTTATTTTATTCATTGTTGGGAAGGCAGTACAATCGCCTTTTGACAATTTGGATGTTGCATCATTAAAAAGAGCCTCTAGGTTAGAGATTCTTTTCAAAAGTTCGTTTAAACGAATTTCAACATCATTGCCTTGTTTTTCTCCTTGCATTTTATAATCTGTTAAGACATCGGATGCTTCTTGTTCTTCATTGTTTAAAACTTCTTTCACGTCAAAGTAATACTCTCTAAACTTTCTTTTCGCTTCGTTGTAGTGCAACGTGATGGAGCTCTTTAAATAATCAACATCTCCATCTGAAGCCTCCACCATTTGTTGAGCTTGCATGGATGAATAATATCCAGTATAATCCTCTCCTGATCCAATGTATTCGCTTTCACGAGAGGGACTGTCAAAAACTACCTTTTCATTGCACCTCACCTTTTGTCTAATTTCTTCAGCCCTTTTGGCATTGCCACATTTTCCAAGGGCATAAGCTACACTTTCCCAGATTGCAGCAGATGTCCACCCCACACAAACATTGTTAAGATAGTGTTCCAAACAATCCGCCAAGGCACCTGCACGATCACAGTTATGGTGAAACAAACGATTGATAACGGCGTTGTCCACCTTTAGGATAAGCAGAAATGGTCTGTACTCGTGAATTGAGTCCCAAATAACTTCAAACAGCTCGTTAGCAGACACTACATCAGCTTCAGCCATTGCATGCAGCGCAGCAAACAGGCAGCCACGCCCTGTGATTCACAAATGATTTTTATTGATCTATCTATGATTATACAAAGAAAAACAATACAAGAGATTTAAAATGTCCAAATAGATTCAGCAAATATTGCCAGCAAAAGTACGACCACTGTCAATAATATCAAGTACTTTGACCACCAATTACCTAAAAATATACAATAATAATGATAAAGTCACTGGTCTAAATAGGAGGATTACTGATAACTAAGTACTACAGTTTTTTTACCTTTCTGCTTTACTTCATTGATGTAGCAGCTTCTATCAACAGAAACACTCAACAACACTAACTCTTTTTCTTTTTCTTCTCCTTTGTCATGTGACATAAAGCACAGGTCAGTTACTGATGATGAATGTACGCTAAGTATCTTCAAAAACGCCTTTAAATATTATAAAAATTAAAAATTTAATCTTAATCTCAATTTTCACTTTCAAATTTGTAGTGTAGACAAAGAGGCCTCCACTTGCATCTCCAATCCCAATGTACTGTTCACTATATTGTTACTATAAATAGCACAGCAGTTCTATTTTTAGAACACTCACTATATAGTCATTGCAGTTAGCATTGTGGTACCAGTACTTGTTGATTTTAGTGTCTTCCATTTTTGTGTGTCCCATTTAGTGAGGTAGCAGTACTGACGTGACCTGTTCTTCCATTTTATCGGAGAGCTGATAGTAAAAAATTCCTGTACATCCTTATAATTAGAAAACCTAATTAAGAACAAACGTAAATTAAATCTATTAATATTAAATATATCCAAAGTCTCACTGACCCACAAGCTCTAAAACGATAGTCCTTTGCAGCTGTAAACTCTGTTACTTCCTCTTTATCATCCAGTCCCTCCCACACCTTAGCAACACCATCACGAGATATGGAAACACTGAGCTTTAGAAGAAGAAAAAGAGAGAGAAATATATATTTTAAAAGATTATTTTCTTACCTCTTTAGATGGATGGACAGCAATATCAGTGATTTCTCCTTTATGTGCTCTACTCGAAACTACAGCCTTCAAATCTGGGAGCTGTTGTAGAGAAATTACTTATCAATAACTCAACTTCTGTTTCTTACTTTCCATATCCTCAAGCAGCCGTCATCTCCGCCAGTCAAAACGTGTGAGCCGTCAAACGAGAACCTGACGACGTTTTGAGACGGGTCCTTGCTGTGTTCATCACTAGTAACAGCAGCTGTCTCATTTAGTTCGAACAAATCGAGCTCACCGTCTTCATCAACTTCATCATCCTCTTTAGACGAATCTCCTTCCTCTTCCTCATTCTCTTTTACATTCTCCTCTTCACTTTCTTTGCTCTCTTTCTCACTTTCTTCGATCTCTTTCTCCTTGTCCGTGTAAGTCAAAGACTCAACTTTAGCTTCTTTCTCTTCTCCTGAGTCTCCGCTTTCTTTCTCTTTGATAGAATAAAGTTTACAGTCTGATTCAACACTGGCAGCAAGTACTGATGCGTCTTTCGGGCTGATTGAGAACTGCATTAGTAGATCAAACCCGGTCTCACGCTGGCAGAGACAATCACTTGAATAGTACGAGCGACTGCTGACCGACTGGTTTCCATTAGTTGTAAGGAGACGATGAAAACTCTAAAAAAATAAAATAACCAGTTTTAAATTGTAACCATTGATAATGTAATGTGTGGCAAGTTTGAACTGATTCTGATCACAATTAATTTTTTTATAAAATTGAGCCAAAGTCCCTGTACTATTATAGTACAGGGTTACGGGCCAAATTTTGTCAAAAATTAAAGGTAGAGAATTCTCTGTTTTTATAACTTTACATGATACATATACATGTTCTTAAGTTGTGTAGAAAGTTTGAACTGATTCCGATCAAAATTGATTTTTTTACAAATTTTTAAAGTTATTCAAAAATCAGGCAAAAGTCCCTGTACTATAGTACAGGGTCACAGGCCAAATTTTGCCAAAAATGACTAGGAGAGAATTCTCCATTTTAATAATGTTATCTGATACATATACATGTTCTTAAGTTGTGTAGAAAGTTTGAACTGATTCCGATCAAAATTGATTTTTTTACGAATTTTTAAAGTTATTCAAAAATCAGGCAAAAGTCCCTGTACTATAGTACAGGGTCACAGGCCAAATTTTGCCAAAAATGACTAGGAGAGAATTCTCCATTTTAATAATGTTATCTGATACATATACATGTACTTATGTTGTGTAGCAAGTTTGAGCTGATTCCAATCAAATTTGGATTTTTTATGAATTTTTAAAGTTACTCAAAAATTGGGTCAAAGTCCCTGTACTATAGTACAGGGTCACAGGCCAAATTTTGCCAAAAATGACTAGGAGAGAATTCTCCATTTTAATAATGTTATCTAATACATATACATGTACTTATATTGTGTAGCAAGTTTGAGCTGATTCTGATCAAATTTAGATTTTTAAAGAATTTTTAAAGTTACTCAAAAATCGGGCCAAAAGTCCCTGTACTATAGTACGGGTCTTCAGCCAAATAATGTTGTACATGTGAATGCATCGCTATTCAATCAATAAACCAAATCGACATGAAGGACTTTTGTCATTAAAATGTACATTTATCATTTATTTATTTATATTAGGTTTGATCAGTAATGTCATTATTAATCCTCTTTCTGCCATCTCTCATTCATTTTCCTGGGGTCCATTGTCTATGATCTTTAGCTGTCATTAGTTTTAAGTTTTTCCTCACCACTTTGTTCTTAATCCCAGTCTTTGCTTTGCCACCGCCTCCGGACACAATGAAAATGTCGTCCTTCCAATGCTTAATGCAATAGAGAGGATGGTCTGCTCCAAAGAGAAACCCATTGTTGTCTGCCATGTTTGATAGTGGGTGTAAGGGTTAAAAATTATAGATGTTAAAAAAACAATGAATGTTCATGCAAAGAAATGTGATGTGCAATAGTATCTGTATTATTTTTACATCTGTGAATCATGGATCTGTTCTATATGTCTGCACTTTAGCCATAAATGATCTATTTTCATTTGGAAACTGCAAATATAAAAGTACAGACATAAAAACCACACTATGCATTCAGTGCTGCATACTTTGCTAAGAGATAGTTTGATGACATCTTTAGATACTAGGACTATAAGTGATGGTTCTATTACACTGTGGAATATTACAAACATCATCATATTTGGTACTATGTTATCTTACTTTACTGTTTGTTGTCTGGACTGTCTCTTAAATGTATCTATTGCAGGATACTACTTTCTACAGTATTTTATTATTTAAAATAATACCTTTTATACCAAATGCTTGCGCTTTTTTGGTGCTCTTTACTTCAATTTCTTCCTTATCATTATTATTCCCCACAATCTCTAGTCTACATTGATATTCCAAGACAGTTTCAGTTTTAACCTGCAGTAATGCTGCTGCTGATAAACTTACTTTCCTTTCACTAGAACAAAGACATCATTTGATGGCTCTCCTTCCTGAAAAACTGTAGACTTTGAACTGTAAGCAGCTAAATTATGAAGTAATGCATGCAGAGACAACTACTATCCATTTATTACTTATCTGACATAGTCTTGAAATATACTCTAATGCTTCATGTGACCAAGTGGAAAATAAATCAGAGCTACTCTGCAATAATATATAACATGGTAATTATTTTACTTTGGAGCTGACTATTACTTTAAGTGATAGCATGATTACAGACAGTGCTATTACTTGTCTGTCAAAATAGTTTGATATTAAATAAGATCTAAATATACATATTAGATCTATGTTGTGAGCAACAGGTTTTGCATACCTCTCGATGCACCAATCTTTAATATTCTTCTCATTTACTCTCCCTCTTGTTTTATTTCTGATAGCTTCCATTGGTAGGCAAATGAGACAACTCCTATAGTATCATATAACACAGTGACAGTTATTCACTAACATAAGAACATGTATAAGGGAAAACAGTTATTTAAAAGGCAAATTTTCTCCTTTCAATTTTGGCAAAATTAGTTCCATTGTCACAAAATCTGTGACAAGCAAAAACCCATTAGTTACATTGTCACGAAATCCGTGACAAGCAAAAACCCATTAGTTCTATTGTCACGAAATCCGTGACAAGCAAAAACCCATTAGTTCTATTGTCAGGAAATCCGTGACAAACAAAAACCCATTAGTTCCATTGTCACAAAATTCGTGACAAGCAAAAAAACCCATTAGTTCCATTTTCACAAAATCCGTGACAAGCAAAAACCCATTAGTTCCATTGTCACAAAATTCGTGACAAGCAAAAAAACCCATTAGTTCCATTTTCACAAAATCCGTGACAAGCAAAAACCCATTAGTTCCATTGTCACAAAATCCGTGACAAACAAAAACCCATTAGTTCCATTGTCACAAAATCCGTGACAAACAAAAACCCATTAGTTCTATTGTCATGAAATCCGTGACAAGCAAAAACCCATTAGTTCCATTGTCACGAAATCTGTGACAAGCAAAAACCCATTAGTTCCATTGTCACGAAATCTGTGACAAACAAAAACCCATTAGTTCCATTGTCACGAAATCTATGACAAGCAAAAACCCATTAGCTCCATTGTCACAAAGTTTGGGCCAAAGTTTTAAAAAATTGTAAAAAAATTCAATTTTAATCGGAATCAACTCAAACTTTCTACACAACATAAAAACATGTATATGCATGAGAAAACATTATAAAAATTAAGAATTTTTTACTTTTTATTTTTGACAAAATTTTGCCAAAATCCCTGTACTTATAGTAAAGGGACTTTGGCCTGATTTCGGAGCAACTTTAAAAATTTGTAAAAAATCCAATTTTAATCGGAATCAACTCAAACTTTCTACACAACATATAAACATGTATATACATAAAACGTTATTAAAATGGAGAGCATATGTGCAGTGTACATGTAATTGTATTGTATTTTACTTTTCATTTGCAATGATGTCAGCTTCTGCAGCGCAGCTGGTCAGCGTCTCCACTTCACCAAACATGTCACCAGGTCTCAAGTTGTACAGTGTCTTCTTTCCTGAGGGATCCAACTGAGAGAGACAGCCTTCAATGACTATGCACACTCCTCTCACAGTCTCCCCTTTCTTCACAATGGCCTCATTTGAATTAAGGTTTCTAGTCACTGCTGAGCTAAGCAGCGTTGCTGTATTGAACGGGAGTCTAAAGAAGCTTGATATCTCTTCTATGGCGGCTGAGATCAAGTCATGGTGCTTTTGTGGTGGGGCTAGACCGGGAGCAGACCTACTCTCTCCTCCTCTCTCTTCCTCCCTTTGATTCATAGCCCCTTCTTCTTGTTCTAGCTCTGGAAGAGTATTTGTATTTGAAGGGCCAGCACTATTTATCCGTGCTGAAGCACCTCTGCTTCCGCTCACTCCATTCCCCATTATAATTCAAAGAGGTGGCAAGAAGATGAGGCGAGATAATCAAATTGCCACCCAACTTTCCCACCTATTTTTTGCAGTTTGCTTACAAGAATTAATTTTTATTTTTATCAAGTTAAATGTCACACTGATTGATGAAATGAATCACAAAATAATTGTTACTATTATACTCTTAATAATTTATGCTATTATTATTTTAATGACAGTTAATAGTTCCACACAATGCTTTATTTGGGATAAAACTTTTTGCTAGGATCTTTAGCATAGTCAACCAGAAGTGGGGCAGGCTCAAAGTGCTCCCCGTACACTTCCCTGAACTGGTTTATCTTGTCAAGCAGGTTCTGAGCACCAAATGAGTCGGTAAACCTAAAAGGACCTGCCAATAAAAAAAAGAAATTCATCAATGATCATATTATATAAGTTTTAAAAGGTAATACGAACAGTTATTCTACCATCATAATATTAAATTATGAATGTCTCTGTGTACTGTTTAAAGAAGACGCCAGCAAGGGCAGTGCCAAGGATATTTGTGTCAATCTTGCAATAAATAAGTCATTGCTACAACAGTGAGTCAGTGGTAGTAATAGCATTGGCACCAATGAACAAGGTCCTGCAAAGCAGGCAGTATAATGTAAGGACTAGGAGACAATCAACAAAAGAAGCATAAGTAGCAGCGCACTCAGCAAACAATGCAAATTATAAAAGGTTGAGCTAAGGAAAGTGCAGAATAGCAGTTAAGATTACTGAAAATATAGGATATAGTGTGATAATAGCTGAATTAGAGGATCAAGATGGGAGCAGCAGCATCAGCAATGCTAGAACTATCGGACGATTTAAAAAACAGGACCCTACAAGATGAACTGAGAGAGTTTACAATAGAGAACCAAGGCATGATGGAGACTAATCAAAAGATACCTCATCTGTTGTTTCTTGGCAAAGGAGGGAGTGGTAAAACAGCACTTGGTAACGTCCTTACGACAGGGAGATCTACAGGAACTCCTGGACCAATCATTGGTACAAGCCAATACATAGAGAGTGAAACAATCACTCAAGGAAATATGACATACACTAAACATGATACTAGGGGAGTTGGGGCTTGGGATACTAATATGGAAGAGATACAGGGAGCAATACAAAGTGTCTACCAAGAGCATCAAGAAGAGTGCATTGTGATCATATGCATTAGATTCAATGACAGGATACAAGATAACAGTAACAAGCAATCCTTTGACTTGTGTCACAGCCTGGGCCCAGGAGTATGGAATAATGTCCTCATTGCGGTCACTCACTCTGAAGTGCCTTTTGAGTCCAGTGACTACAGTCAGCTTGAAGAGCTCAAGACAATGTGGAGGGAAGAAGTACAAGCGACAGTGAAGAGATATGGAAGTACCGAAGTACCGGTTTGCTTCACAAGTCACACAGAAGCTGAGCGGCCTATTGTGTACAACTGGTTGAAACAGCTGCTCAAGACGATATTCGAGAGGGCCTGCATCTCTGAGAGCTATTTTAGATTCCTATTTCAAAGCCTAAGGAGCACATTACAAAGCGTCATTGAGAGTGGGACCTCCCAGTTAGAGAGATCACATGAGTCCCTCTGTGCAACTATAACAAACTGTCCTATCGTGACTCATTCCTTAGGACAAGATAAGCTACTAACACGAGGAGCTGCTGCAGGTGCTACCGTCGGAGCAGTGCTAGGGGCTGGAGCCGGAGTAGCAGCTGCTGTTGGAACTGGTCTAGCAGTCACTGCTGGGACTGTCGCTGGATTGGCTGCATTCGGTGCTATTACCATAGCAACGGGTGGAGGAGGGGCATTAATTGGAGCAGGATTAGGTGCTGGGATTGCCATAGCAACGTTGTTGGTGTGGCTGTGGCTCAAAAGACGAAGAGAAAGACATAACTAATTCAAAAAGCTAAACTATACAGCCTGTGTGCATGTATCAACTAATTAGTGATAGTTTTCAATGCTTTTAGCTTACACAGCTATAAAGAGCCTAATAAGGCTACATTTACACAGGAACAAAAACAATGCAATCAATATAGTTCTAGAAACCAGGAGTGAAACAAAGGGGAAAGGGAAATTCAAGGGGGAACTACCCAGGTGACAAACAATGCCTACTAAGCCATGCTAAACCAACTGACAGTTATGAAATTCAATTATAGTACTACAAATTATCTCACAAATTACATGTACAATAATAAAAAACTTGAGTGTTATACTAACAGAACACAACACGTCACAGCTGAGAATAGACTTGCATATAAAAGAGGGATCAAATGCAAAGTCTCAAGTATACTACAGTAGCAATGGGAAATCATCAAAGTAGCATAATACAAGATATAACTGAGAGTATAAGATCTGGTAGGCATGAGGATGACCTAGAAGAGTTCCAAAGACATGCAAGCATCGAGGAAAGGACTCCACACTTGCTGTTCCTGGGAAGAGGAGGTAGTGGAAAGTCATCACTTGGGAATTTGCTGATCAATGGAACCTCCACAGGTGACTCAGGCCCAAACATTGGAACAACAAAATACGTCGAGACTACAGAAGTAAAAAAGGAAGGTGCTAAATACACGTACATCGTCCATGATACTCGAGGGTTAGGAGACAGCAACACAAAGGTAGAAGAAATGGAAACTGAGCTCCAAAGAGTTTATCAAGACAATAAGGAGGACTGTGTCGTGATAATATGCGTTAGACTTAACGACAGGATCACTGATAGGGGGATAAAGCAGTGCTTTGAAGTCTGCAATAGTCTTGATCCTAACGTATGGGACAACGTGATAGTCGCAATCACACACTCGGAAGTACCACTGGAGATGAGGAACAAAGCTAATAGGTCTGAAATGCTTGAAGATCTAAAAGGAGAATGGAGAGCAAAAGTACAGGAAGCTATTAAAGGACTAGAAAAAGAAAAAGAAGTAGAAAGAGAAGTACCAGAAGTACCAGTTTGCTTCACAAGTCATACTGAAGCCAAACGCCTCATTGAGCGAAACTGGATACAAAAGCTTTTAGAAGCAATCGTTGAGAGAGCTGGCCAATCAGAAAGCTTCTTTAACTTTCTCTATGAAACTCTTCGGGTTGCATATGAAATGACCAAAAGCCTTGAAATATCACAGAGCCATGAAATGACCCAGAGCCATGAATCAATGGGAGCACCACTGTGCAACATAGGAGATAAAGTAGAGTCCACAACAGAAATGACAGTAGCTAACCCAGCCTATGCAACGATGGCCATAATAGGAGGAGTATTAGGAACTGGAGCAGGAGTAGCAGCTACTTTAGGAACTGGCATAGCTGGTACTAGTGCAGGTCTTGCAGCTGGAGCAGCAGGAGGATTAACGGCAGGAGCCATTGCTGGACTAGCAGCATTTGGTGCTGTTACCATAGCTACCAGTGGAGTAGGGGCATTAATTGGAGCAGGAGTGGGTATCGGCGTTGCTATAGCAGTAGTGATGGTGTGGCTTTGGGTCAAGAGAAGAAGAGCAGAAACAAACCAATAACTAGACATACATGTACATGTAATGCTTCATGATAATACATTAGTCATTAGAAATTTATAATTTGTGTGTTTCGCTAGTGTTCTATCTTTAAGTAAAGGTTTGATTTTGAGTTTTATATAATATTTTTCTTCGTACCTCCTCTGAATGGCAGGAATCCTAACCTAAAGATAGCTCCCATGTCTCTGTTAAGAAGATCACTGAGTACATGTCTGTTACATGTAAATTCATTATTACTTAACATTTTAAAATAGCTGTAAACTTCAAACAGTCAATAAAATAAATGCAATAATACTCAAATGAAGTCAATGATATATGTTGCAACATTATGCTGCTATAAATTACAGAGAAGAGTGCATTACACAGCTATAGTACATGTATACTTAAGTGTCAGATAATGTAGCAAAAGGGGAATTCCCATGGGGAATTACCTAGCATAATAAGCACAACGCCTAGTAAGCAAGCTAATCCAATTATTTATTATTTTTCAAGATTAATATTACAGTGCAAATTACATGTGTAACATAGAGATATTATGCATGTGTAGTAGGCTAGTAGCTGAGTAAGAAAAACATGTTATTATATCAGCAAATAGTTAAAATAACAGCAGATTGTATATAAATGAGATGCAAAACAGTAAATGCATAATACTGATAAACGATGGCAACTGCAGCAGATGATCCAAATGGTATAATAGAGTGCATCACTGAAAAGTTAAATTCTGGCGAGTACCAGAAAGGATTGGAGGAGTTTGAGAGAGATGGGAACAAAGATATCAACAAGGACAGGACTCCACACTTGCTGTTTCTTGGAAGAGGAGGCAGTGGAAAGTCAGCACTCGGGAATGTGCTGATCAATGGAACCTCCAAAGGCGACTCAGGCCCAAACATTGGAACAGCAGAATACGTCAAAACAACAGAAGTAAGGAAGGAAGGTGCTAGATACATCATCCACGATACTCGAGGGATAGGAGACAGTACTACGAACGTACAAGAATTGGAAGCTGAGCTCAAAGGAGTTTATAGAGACAACAAGGAGGACTGTGTCGTGATAGTTTGTATTAGTCAAAAAGACAGGATCACTGATAGGGGGATAAAGCAGTGTTTTGAGGTCTGCAATAGTCTTGATCCTAACGTATGGGACAACGTGATAGTCGCAATCACACACTCGGAAGTACCACTGGAGATGAGGAATGAAGTTAACGTGTCTGAAATGCTTGAAGATCTAAAGACAGAATGGAGGGCAAAAGTGCAAGAAACTATTGAAGGATTAGAAGTAGAAAAAGAAGTACCAGTCTGCTTTACAAGTCACACTGAAGCCGATCGACCAATTGAAGACAACTGGTTACAAAAGCTAATAAAAGCGATCATCGAAAGAGCTGGGCAGTCAGAAGGCTGCTTTAGACTTCTCTTTAAAATCCTCCAAGAGAAATTAGATTTAACTCGCAGTCACGAGTCAATGGGAGCATCCTTACGTAATACAGATGAGTGGGACGATCTAACACAATCCACAGCAGATTTGGGAATAGAGATGAACATGACAGCAACAAAGCAAGTCAGTGCAGGGATAATGATAACAGTAATAGGAGGAGTACTAGGAGGAGGAGCTGGAGTAGCAAGTGCTTTAGCTACCGGTATAGCTGCTACTAGTGCAGGTCTTGCGACTGGAATAACAGCAGGAGGATTAACAGCAGGAGCCATTGCTGGAGTAGCAGCATTTGGTGCTGTTACCGTAGCTACGAGTGGGGTAGGGGCATTAATTGGAGCAGGAGTGGGTATCGGCGTTGCAATAGCAGTAGTGATGGTATGGCTTTGGATCAAGAGAAGAAGAGCAGAAACAAACTAATAACTACATGCATACATGTACACATAATGATTCCATGATAATATATCATTCATTACAATTTATAAGTTGTGTCTTTCGTTATTGTGCTAATTTTTTATTTTTTATTTTTAATATAATATTTTATATTTTTAATAATATTTTTTCCTCACCTCCTCTGAATGGCGGGAATCCTAACCCAAAGACAGCTCCAATGTCCCCATCAACCGGATCACTGAGTATCCCTTCCTGGAGGCAGTATATAGCCTCATTGACAAACCTTGAGATCAGTCTCAATTGAACCTCCTCCACCTCATGACTGAGAGAGAACTCTTCATTTTAATCTTAATTTAATTTTTTAATTTAATCTAATTTTTAATCTTTCTTGTTACATTTCTGATGCATAAAAATCTACAGTAGTTATTCTTGCAAGTCTTATTCCGTTTAATTTTTTGTACACACATGTAGTCAGTAATGAAAACATGCTGCATCAATTCAAGGTACATGCTGTATATGTAATAGATCAGTCTCAATTGAACCTCCTCTACATCATGACTGAGAGAGAACTCTTCATTTTAATCTTAATTTAATTTTTTCATTTAATTTAATTTTTAATCTTTCTTGTTACATTTCTGATGCATAGAAATCCACAGTAGTTATTCTTGCAAGTCTTATTCCGTTGAATTTTTTGTACATACAGTACATGTACATGTAGTCAGTAATGAAAACATGCTACATTGATTCAAGGTACATGCTGTATATGCAGGGTTCTATCCAGTAAGGGGGGGGGGGTGGGGGGTGGGGGGAAGCTTCTCCCCCAAACTCTTCATCTTCCCCCCCAAAACTTCAAGCTTCCCCCTGTGTACTTCTGTAACTGCATGCACGTACTGTACATGTACATACATGTATGTACACAGCCTTCCCTACCCCCCCAGTCAACTGCTCTGGGCTTCCTCCCCAAACAAAAATTCCTAGATAGAACCCTGATATGCAATAGTTGCATACTGTATACATGTACATGTATATGCATGTACACATGTACATGTACCTGCCAGCCAATGATATTTGATATTTCTGTAGTAATTCCTCGGCTTCAGTATTGACACTTCTGTTCTTTTTATCAGTGTAAACGTAGCAACCTTTACCGGACTTACGACCTACGTGTTACATGTACATGTATTTTATGCAATTAAAAAAATATTGATTTTTGATACCTAAAAATCCACGACCGACTAAATCTTCAAGCACTCCTATATCAGAGCCTCCAAACCTAAAAATAAATTAATAAATAAAATATAAATAAATAAAATTAATAAAATAAATAAATAAAAAGATAAATAAATAAATAAAATAAAATAAATAAAATAAATGCGAAAATAATTGCACCATACCATACCTGGTACCAAATTTTGAGCTGAGGTCCTTAGCAACGTGCATAGCAACGTCCAGCCCCACTTCGTCTGCTAGTGTAGCAAGACCAACGGGAAAACCATAATCTTTTGAATATTTATCCAAATTAGCCGGGCCAAGACCTTCCTGGAATAAGAGAAAGAACAACAATTCATAAAATAAATACATGTACATAGACATGTACAGTACATGTACATAGTACATGTACATGTACAAGTATATGTATCTTGTGTCTTATTTCTCTTCTTCTTTAGCTAATTTTCAAAAAGCAAGTACCCTTTTTTCAAGACCCAAAAACTTTTAAAACGAAATCGTTTCAATCAGCATCAGAAAATGTAGCGAAAATTGGTGGAGATTTCAGAGCCAATTTTTATAACAATAAAACTACAGACATGCAAAGGTATAGAAAAACCATGCTTTTGCTTTTTTTAGAAGCTTGGCCATTTTTTAAAATGGTCGTAACTTGAAAAATTTAAGTTGGAATCAGCTCAAACTTTCTACACAGCATAAGGACATCAATATGTATCAGAAAATTTAATAAAAATTGGGGGTAATTTTTTAGCCATTTTTTGAAAAAAACCATGGGCTATAGTACAGGGATTTTTTCAGATTTTGGCCCATTTTTAAAATGGCCGTAACTCGAAAAATTGAAGTCGGAATCAGCTCAAACTTGCTACACAGCATAAGTACATCAATATGTATCAGAAAATGTAATAAAAATTGGGGGTGATTTCGGAGCCATTTTTTTGGAAAAAACTATGGGCTATAGTACAGGGATTTTTTCAGATTTTGGTTCATTTTTTTAAATGGCTGTAACTCAAAAAATTGAAGTCGGAATAAGCTCAAACTTTCTACACAGCATAAGTACATCAATATGTATCAGAAAATGTAATAAAAATGGCAGCATATTTAGAGAAAAGTCCCAAGGAGTAATAGCTATCAACTCTTGCCTCTCCATTAAAGACTTACCTGTAATAGTCTAATGGCCTCAGCTAGCATAGGAGCAAGACATCTTGTGGTGTAAAATCCAGGACCATCTTTTACAACAATGACAGTTTTACCTTGTTTTAAACCAACATCAACAGCAATAGCTAGAGAAAAGAGAGAGAGAGAGATGAAATGAGTGTGAATGTGCAAATTAATGAAAATTTAATTGTTACCGGAAGCTTCTTTGGTTGTCTTGTCTGTTGTAATAATCTCAAGAAGTGGCATCTTATCAACAGGAGAGAAATAATGCATACCAACAACCTAGAGGGAGAGAGGGAGAGAGAGAGAGGGAGAGAGGGAGGGAGGGAGGGAGGGAGAGGGAGAGGGAGAAAGGGAGGGAAAGGGAGAGGGAGGGAGGGAGAGAGAGAGGGAGGGAGGGAGGGAGGGAGGGAGAGAGAGAGAGAGAGAGAGAGAGAGAGAGAGAGAGAGAGAGAGAGAGAGAGAGAGAGAGAGAGAGAGAGAGAGAGAGAGAGAGAGAGAGAGAGAGAGAGAGAGAGAGAGAAACAAAT